GGTAGAGCCAGAAGGTACAACAAATATGTAATATAAAAAATCATTGGGTTTGAAAAGTAGGGACAATTTTTGTTGCGCCGAAAATTTTACTGGTAGATTATAGGTATGTATTTGGCAAAAAATTAAAGCGCTTCAATTTCGATTAAGGTTACGAATAAATTTAAACAATAAAATAAAATAAAATTTTCAAAAATTCTTGTTTTTAATTTAATTAAACAGATTATTACTGTTTGTGGAAATCTTATCACAAAATAGTTCTCAAAAATAACATTTTACAATTTATTTTGATGTTTTTAATTTTGCTTCATATAATGGCGGCCATAGGCCATACAAAAATTCTGCCTTCATGGCGAATTATAATGCAACCATTTTATTATAAATGAATCCCTTAAATAAGTCTTTGTTGTAAAATAAAACGGTATAAGATAAATATCTATCATTACGCAGAATTTCCAGGCACTATAGAACTATTTTTGACATATTGAGATTTGTGACAAATAGATGTTGCCAAATCTCATTTGGTTAGTATTTAAACTAACAAACATGACCAGATTTTCATGGATTCATGCACGCAATGCATTTCATGCATGCCCGACGAGTGAGCGGCAACCTAAGGACTTACAACAATAAAACAATACAAACATCACTACAGTAAAACTTTTACATCAACGTGGCAACAGTGCTTTGAAGAAGCCAGACAACCCGGGAGATTTTGGCTTTTGGGAACCCAGGGAATTCTCGGGATTATTTGCCGTAATTTCGAGGAGTTTTTTCTTACATGCTTTTTATAACTACCACTGCGTTTGTTACCTTTTTTCCAACTTTGTCCAGAATTCATAATAGCTGTGATTATACTTCTACGTAGATATTACTTTTGCAACAACAACAATAACAAAATAAATAACTATGTATACCATTTAATTTAAAATGAGGTTATATTATACATTACCAGTTTTATAATGCCAGATATTACAGCGAATTTATTTTCTTAATTACAATTTTATAATATAAGGCTATATAAATAGTGTTGTATACAGCACCGTAGTTTAATGCAATAAAACATTCTATTATACAATGTAATACAACTTTAATAAGACAAGTTTAAGTAACTATTATATGATCTTGTGACTACTAGTTATATGAATATTGTAGAACTCTTACATGGTGGGTATAAGAGTCTAATAAAATAATATGTTTGTTATCATATAGCATTGTCTTATTAAGTGTTATATCATACTAAAAGAAATTATCGTTTAATGCGTTATAGAATACGTTGTAAAAACCACTAGAAAATAGTTTAATATGACAACTTTTATTAAAAAACAATATATATATATATATATAAAAGTGGTTAAAATACTCTTAATGTATCTAAAATCTAAATCATTCAAAAATATTTAAATCTTTTTTTTGTTAATTTAGATCACTTACATCATTACATGACTTAAATCTCTTCTAACGATTTAGACCTTAAAAATTGGTAATTTTCTTGAAGGTTTTAAGAAAAATAATGTTTATTTATATACAAAATTTATTAATTATAAAGAAAGACAGAAAGTAATAAAGAACAAACACCTAATTTTAATTCATACATCCACAAAATTCAAAATTGACAGCTGTTTGAATTTTGTACAAATCTGATTGGTTCATTTGACGTGTCGCTGGCGGCAGTTGATATTCTGATATCGTGGCTTTTAAGCTTGATTTTCATGCATCCGTTGTCCGACGATACGATGATACGATATTAATTTTATTGGTTGAATTTAAAGGCTTCGATTGGTTAACCGTTTCTAACCAATCGTTAGAAATTGGTTGAATCAATTGGTTAACCAATTCAACCAATAAAATTAATATGGAATAGTCGGACAACGGATGCATGAAAATCAAGCTTAACTCGACAATACAAAGTTCTGAGAACGAGGCTTTATAGACAAAAGAGTTAGAACATCATCTGTCAACAGGCTGTTAGAAATCACAGACAACTATCTGCAAGCTTCTGAGTCTCTCAGTATATTTCATGGCAGTAAGGATATTTGACTATTCAGTCTTCAGTTTAAAATTAAAGAACAACTTGAACATACTTGCCTCATTGGTTAGTCTATGGATCAGTGCAAAGTTTTTTGGTATGAACAAATCTATTGAGGCCACCCATCTACACACGTTCAATGGAGGAAGGTACTCAAAATGTCAAATATTATCAATGGACAGGGCGGTTATGTCCAGTTTGTATTTCTGTCTTAACATAGCGGATCTCCTGATATTCCTATACAGATATCTAGTAGCTTTAAATCTCGAAAATGATCAGAAGTTGATATACGCTTCTACTTTTGCCATGGAATGTTGTACGCTGTACGAGCCCTATCCCGTTACGAACCCAGCCCTACTAGCCGCCAGCTCCCTCTATGTAGCTTACCGAACACTAAACAGCACCACAGAAGGCCTGGTATCTGAAAAGTACTGTCAGTGGTACAAGTTGAAGGACATCGAGTGGTACGACGATAACATTTTGACACCCTGTATACGGATGACTGCGAGGAAACACCGCTTACACATAGAAAGGTACTCTATAATCAAGAAACTGAAAATTTCGACGGTATTTCTCGATGCTTTATTATAATTTTTGTTAATATTTTGCCTATTTTATTTATATAACTATTATTATTTATTACTTTTAGTGTTTTAGTAGAAAAGTTTAATCGTTTAAGTCTCTTGTAATGCTATTTGTTATGAATTGTTTGTTGTCTTATATTAATTATTTCTATCTATTTAACAATTATTAATATTATTCTTAAATAAATAACGTAGGAAACTAAAAAAAAAACAAAAAAAAATAAAAAAAACAAAAAAAAATGGGTGGCGCACCTCATTCGCCTCGGTTGATTATACGAAAACGGAAAGATGTAGAAACAAAATATTTTATGGGTATATGTGGGGAGGCAATATTCAAAATTTAAAATTATTTTGAAATGTACAGGGTGTGTCAGAACTAAGATTCATACCAAAGTTATATTTTTTCTTATGGAACACCCGGTATTTTATTTCATTTTTGGATTCTTGGATACAAAATAAAGCATTTATTATAAGGGATATGTTTCACAAGCTTTGGTTTTGGTTTGAGATATTTAAATATGCATGCTATAATAAAAAGAGACTGTCAACACCTTGCACATTACTTTTCAGAAATAATTCTTGTGTTGACTTTCAAGCCAGAGAAATAAACTTTACTAAAAAATTTATCAATATATTTATTAATTTATATTATTTATATTTAGGGTATCAAAAGTTGCTGGTCTATTATAAATATTCATTTTACATAAAAACTTAACGTTATTTCAAATGCAATACTTACTATGTATTTTTTTAAATAACTCGAAGCAGATAAATGCTCTTTCACACTATATTGGGGTTTCCTATGCCTGGCACAGATTTTGAATAAAAAGCGATTTTTCAATAAGATTGTAACCAAGATGGCTGGTGTCGCCATGGTAATTTTCTAGTGACACTTTGTAGCCATCTTTGTAGCTATTTTCAAAATCGACATACAGTTTATGGACTTTATTTAAATTTATAACAGGGTATTTTTATTTAATTTACCTACAATAAAGTTAATAAGTATTTATTATTTTATCAAGAAAAATGAAGAGCTATGTGCTGGCGGAGGGAATGGATGTTACTAGTTATTTTATTTTGTGAGGACAATTGCTTGTCGGCCTGAAGGGTTTATGCTCAAAGATATCCAAATAGAAATTTTCTTAACAAGAGTTCCTTCGAAATACTACTTTTTCTATTTCGCAAAGCTGATAGTGTGGTATGTGAAAAATCTATTAGGCAGAAACCTGTCGTTGGAAGTGAAGAAAATGAATTTGCCTTAATTGGTTTTTTTATAGAAAATTCAATATATCTACAAGTCATCGTAATATAAATCAAAGAACAACTTTTTTATTTTTCTTGATAAAATAATCAATACTTCTTACTTATTAAACTATTGTAGGAAAATTAAATAAATAGTAAACTGTTATAAATTTATATAAAGTCCATAAAATAATTTCGATAGTCGATTTTGAAAATAGCTACTACCTGTCACTAGCAAATTGCCATGGCGACACCATCCATCTTGATTGCAATTTTATTGAAAAATCGCTTTTTATTCAAAATCTGAGCCAGATAGGTATAGAAAACCCTAATATAGTTTGAAAGAGCATTTAAATCTGCTTCGATCTATTTTAGAAAATACATAGTGTTGTATTTGAAATAACAAGGTTTTTATGTAAAATAGATATTTAAAATAGACCAGCAATTTTTGATACCCCTGTATACATTTAAGGAAGCAATAAAAATTGTTAGGTAAAGTTTATTTCTCTGGCTTCAAAATCAGCACAAGAATTAATATTATTATATCATCTCAAAAACCAAAACTTTTAAACATATTAAACCCTTATAATAAATGCCTTATTTCATATCCAAGAATCTAAAAATGAAATAAAATACTGGGTGTTCCATAAGAAAAAATATAACTTTGGTATGGATCTTAGTTGTAACACACCCTGTACATTTGAAAATAATTTTAAATTATGCACATTGCCTCTCTACATATACCCATAAAAAAATTTGTTTCTACATTTCTCTGTTTTCGTATAATCAACCGAGGTGAATGAGGTGCGCCACCCTGTATATATAAATAAGAGTAATCTACTTCTTTAATTACAATGCAATATTTAACACTGCAGTTAAATCATGTTTAAATATTTAACAATACAACAAATATGTACTTTGAACCAATACATCATAAGAACATAAAATATTACAAATATATAAAATAAGTTCAGTATTGAACTGAATTGACCTTGCTACAGAAACAAACACCAATTCAGATTTATGTGACAGTATCTTTTAATACTGCTCTATAGATATTTTTTTATTTTAGAGCAATAAGAATAATTTATATCAAGTTTTTCAAATGATAAAGTTTTGTGCTAAGAAAATAATTCGTCAGTGTCATCTTAATACATTTTTAAAGTTGGTACCAGGTTTTATTGTCAAACATAATAAAGTCTAACTTTCGATGTACAGATATGAAGATCTTCATCAAAAAATTTAGTTTCGATTACTACATTTCCATTTAACACTGAGGCTGGCATCATCTGTGATTCGGGGGCCCCTTCCATGAGAGATTGCCATGTGTTTGTTGACTCTGGCATAACAAAACCAAATTCAAAGTACCATTCTTCGAGACACCTTCCTTTAAATAGTACTTTTTGTTCCAAACGAAAGTTTTCGATCTGTTCTTTGGAACTAAAACAATAAAATAATCGGTACAAATAATCAACATTCACCATAAAAAAAACAAATATTTGAATATACCTAAAACTAAACTCTCTAGATACTGCACGACATTTGAGGATGTTTTTAGGTACTTGAGCTTCATGTTCAATGTCCGGTAGGCTTATATCTTGAGTACCCTGCCAAAATACTTTGCCTGTATCAGCGTCACGTAAACAAATCCAATTAACTTGAAAAGATTTCAGAATTTCCTCAGCCTTTTGCTTTTTTTCGTCTTCTATCATTCTAAATAACAGATTACGTTTAAAACATATGATCGGAAATGCCTGTCAATTAGTTTTTTAATGTTTATAATTGGTTTTCAACATGATAATGGAACATGATTTTGATTTTTAAACCACTTTTAAACCAAGTTTTGAAGTTTTGTTTTCTTTTTCTTCTCTTATTGACATTTATGACGTTTGACGTATCAGACAGGAGCCAACAGCCAACGAAGGACCAAGGCAAGACCAAAGACCAGGGATATATAGTTATGAGAGCAATATTCATGGTGGGTTCATACAGCCAAATAAAATAAAATAAGAATAAAATAAAATAAAATAAGAAAGTTGGTTATATGGGATACCGTACATGCGTTCATACAGCCAAATAAAATAACAAATAAAATAAGAAGTCTTTATCTTTTAACTTCTTGTTTTATTTTATGTGAAAACGGCTTTGCGCACAAAAAATTATGGGCCCAGTTTTTGAGATCTAAATGAAGTTCGAAAATCGCCGTTAGGGGCGCTTGTGATGATTGGGATACTAGAAACAGGGGGTGACAGTGAAATAGGAAAGAGTGGAAACAGTCATTAGTGTCATTCCTGTCATTCTCCTCACGACAAGTATGGCCGCCTAGACAAAGATAGCATTGTTTTTGTCTAACTATTGTCTAACTTCACAGTTTAGAATTGACAGATTTCAGTTTCAGAGACAACTTCAGATTTGTTCTAGAACAAATTCGAAAATTGTGTCGAAAATATTCGACGCCATTTTAATTCATTCCGTTTAGTTTCGTTTTGGAAGTTCAATTTAATATTTCGGCTGAAATTTATAATTATAAAGGTAATAAAGTATATAAAATATATATTACATGAAGAATCCTGGAGAAAATGACGTTTCTGCCGTAGTAGGTATGTCCCATGTATATGAAAAATAGGTAGTAAATAAACACTGTTTTTACATTTTTTAGATGCAAGAAAATGGTGTTATAATCTCTTTGATCGGCGATTTTTTTGAAAATGGAAACAATTTACAGCAAGGTAAGATCATTTTTAACTATAGCCAACATCATTTATCTCCAATATGTGCGATTTATTGTCAATAATGCAATAAATCGGACTGATAATCTGATTATGTTATCCGACTAAAAGTCTCTTTTTGCTTCTTTTTGATTTATAAGCCAGGTCTCTTTGGGAATAATGGACGCTTTTTTAAACAGTATATTTATATTTTATACCTATTGATATTTTTAGATTGTTAATTTTAGTATAAAAAAATTTGTTTTTCTGTTTTCAGGTTTTTGTATAAGGCTCCCGTTTTCATGTCCCTGTGTCCGTTTTCTGTCCTTGAAGTCTGCGAATACGTGTGTTTATTTACAAATTACTGTAAGTCATGCTTATACCTTAACTAATTTACGTTAAAAGTACATATAATTAACTAATTGGTATTGAAACAATACAATCCTCTATATTTTTATGTTTATTTAGTCACGTTGTTCCATACTTCAAATAAATATATGTGAATAAATTATTTTTTGGTTTTATTTATGAAAAGAAAAAATACAAAATACATTTGAACTGAAAGAGGGCCCGCCATTAAATAACCGGAAACGGAAATGAAAATTAAGCCATCATGTCCTTATCATGTCAACCTGTCAATTGGAAAATTAGTTCTCCAGACGACAACGAAGGCTTTCGGTGGCGTATCGTGTTTCCACGATTTAACACAGAGTTGACACTTCTTTCTAGTTAATTATTTTATGGTTTCTTATGGCAAGAATAACTATTTTGTTATAAATTATAGAGCCAAGTTAATATTTGGGCATATTTTTACCAGAGTTAGCTTTTAGAAACGTGTTTTTTTTCGAATTAAGCAATGTGTGTGGCTAAAATTGTGAATACAATACCTTAAATTTGAGTTTGAAAAGTTAGTTAGGTTATATTAGATGCCGGTTTAATATATCCTTTTCCTAAGTTGATATTATAAAAATGTTTTATTATGTGGTTCTTTTTAGTGCATACACGACCGAAGAAACATATAAGCTGCTAAAATAAATCTTCCCTAGAACTGTTGTACAAAAAAGATAGAAGTTCCAGCAACAAATTTATCACCAGTTCAACCTTTGATTTGATGTAAACAGTAATTGTTTCTTGATGAGAAATGCGAATGAAATAGTTTATGGTGTGATTGTGTTAGTGTTTTATTAATAGTTTTGTTGATGCAGTTTAAAGGTTCATAGTTTTTCATTAAAACATTTGAAATTGACATGTTTACATGCAGTTTAGTGTGATACCATTTTAATAAACATTAAAATCTTTCGAACTAGTAGTGGTTTTATGGCGATTGACAGATTGAATAACGAAAATTAAGAGTATTTTATCAGGAATAACTTAATCATAAATGGAAACTGAAGACGAACGTTACCATTGCACCCTTTGATCGGTGTTATCTATTCCATAACTTTTTATAGCTGAAACTAGAGAGTAGGTATATTGAGCTGAAACGTTTCCTGTGTTCAATAGCGTTTTTTCTAGCGTTGAATTGTAAGTTTTAATGTCATTAGCAAAGTTTTGCAAATTGTCACTGTTTCGTAGACAATTAAATTCAAGATATATTATATTCAATGTCACCTAATAATTGTAAAGGTTTTTCTATTGATATTCACTTTATTAATATAAGGTAGGTTTGTAAATAAAATATTAATGAATAAATAATGTACTCAGTTTATTTCAAAAGCACAAAAATACAGAGTTGTGAATATGTATATACGCTGACTTATTTCATCATATAAATATTTATTTAGCAATATTAATACATTACAACTTTTGTTTCTATTTAACTAATTCCACTAAATTTTTTGAATTAGAAACTTTTTCAGTTGCTTCACTCCTTACACATGGTGGTTTCCTCTTTCTTTTATTACTAGAGAAATATGAAGGCAGGTTAGGAAAAATTCTTGGAATTGAACCCTCCTTTAATAATGGTCTACCCCGCTCAATTCTACTGATAGTTCCGTCAGTTAATTTGATCTCATAATGAGTCAAAATATCTTCATCTAGAAAATGTAGTTCACAAACAGCATCTTTGCTGCTAAGTGTCTTGTCTGATCTGGGTATCGCCTTTTGCCACTGCTGTAGCAAGCTAGGATCCTAATAAAAGATATATAATTGTTAAATAAAATAAAAAAAAAACATTTTTCACTATTAAAGCTGTTATTTTGAGAATACGATCTTGAAGTATAAATATTTAATATTCACTTTCAATAGCACTGTTCAAACTGTGGTTAATATAGGTACATGTCAACAGGTAATTTTAGCACCTAGTAAGTATTAAATTATTTTAATTTTATAACAAGGCCTCCTAGGTTATGTTATACACATGTTGATTTTAGGCTATATTTCCTATTAATTTGGTTTATAATTTAATCTGTACACTGACAGTATATAATTTTAATGTTTTTCTTAACATCTATCCATAATTTTTATAAATAAATAGTCATACTACTTACATTAGGAGCTTTGAAAAGGCTTGGGTTTCTTTCACCCCGTTCTTTATTTGCCTTGTTTTTATTGGGATTCCCACTTGTACAGCCAGGTACAAAGCAATTTCTACCACGACTCATTGTTGTACTGCTAAAAATTCAGTAAATTAACTATAAATTTTATTAAAAACACAATTAAATCGTATACTAACAATGAAAATGTAGTATCCCAGTCGATCGCAGTGCCTCTGCTGTCAAACCGAGGAAGCTGCTTAAAAGTGGGGACAGAAATTTCAAATTTGCCCATTGCCATAAATCTCCTTTTTAAGCCCTCCATAATTTTAACCCGATCAAACAATCGGAGGTTGACTACGTACTGTAAAAACCAACTGAGATAGAGAGAAGGCGACATTGCCACATCTCAAATTTGCGCCTATCTACTTAGTTTGATTTGCAGAAAAGGTGACTTTAAAACCTTTACCGGATATCAATAAATCTCAATTTCTTAATTAAATTTATAGTTTATTTTTAAAGAAGCATGCGTAATAATATGTTATTAACCAGAGGATATATGCGTTACTATTAAAGGACATGTTTACTGTTTAATGTGCTGAAACGTCTAGAACTATTGGCAACGTCGCTGCTAGTCTTCAGAATGAAATGAGCCGTCCGTCCGTCCACCCCTCGCGACGGCCCTTGGTCCGTTATAGCGTACTACGTTTAGCTTACGGTGTGTTTGAAGTCGGAATCAAGTCCGAAGTGAACTTTTCGGTGTTTTCATTAGTTTTTTTGTTTTTGTTTAACGTACTTTTGAATCTGCGAATTTTCAATATGGTAGGACAGTGTCAAATGTGTGGAAAAATAAGCTCAAATTACCCGAATTTGTCTTTTCACAGGTAGGTATTGTTTCCGCCGTAATCGTACATAGGCGTCCCACAAGGGAGCCTCTCACAATTAAAATAATTTCTAATTATATTTGTTGAATTTTGATCTATTAAAATAAGAACGTAGTAGCCGGTAATTGAATTATAATTCGTCTCAATTACTACCTAACTGTTGTAAATCATAACAAATTTGAATATAAACGTTGCATTTGAAACTTTATTATAAGCCAGAAAAAGTGACATTTTTTTTTAAATTGCGTCATATTTTGGTCATTATATACGATATTCTAAAGGAATTTTGCTCAACAAATAAACAAAGGTGTTTACCCGTCCTTTTTTACATTTATTGCTTTATTATATCTTATATCTGCCCCTTCGGTCTTGTTTAGACAATTTTTTACCACCGTAGAATACAAATACCTTTTTCTAGAGTTATTTGTGCGGTGTGTTTACCTTTTTTTAGAATGGGACGAACTGTAAATAATTCTTAGGCTACTAGTTTTATACATACCTATATGGCAGAGTGACCCAGGCCTCCAAAAAAAGCTTTTTACCTTGTGATTTTTATTTCAATTTTTTACATAAGATCGGGGCCATTGTAAAGCACATTTTCAAAATATTTTTGTCAACATACAGGGTGATTCAAACCGCAATACATATGCTTAATACAGTTCATGAAGATTGGGACATTTAACTAAAATTTGATTGTCTGATGAAGCTACCTAAGTAATGGATTTGTAAATAAACGTAATATTCATTATATTATTATGCGACAGAAATCCCATACTGTAGCACACAGATTTGATACTTTTAATGATACATGCCTTCTATTGAGAGACTAAAGGTAATTGCCTCATATCAGAGCCATCATAATACGAGAAGAAGACCGAAAGTCAAATCTTGTCTTATAATTACACTTCTTGTTAACACAATTTCTCATTAAAATACATATTGATTTTAGGTATAGGAAGCTATCGATTGCGAACTAACTAAATCGTAACTAATTACTAATTTTGAAAAGTTCTTTTTAAGATCAAAAAAAGTAAAACTAAAACCTAAACTATCATTTGAGATTAAACGGGAGGTTCTAAATAATGTTGCCTATTCTAAACAAGAAAAATTTATTTATAAGGTTTATAACATCTCTAATTAAATTTGGACGAAAAGAATATTTCTGTTTGCTGTAGGTAATTTTCTCAGGGAAAATACGTAAATAAAAATGACTTTTCAAGTCAAAAGTCAAAATTACAAGTTATCCAAAAAGGACAGGTGGCAACCCTAGGTATTTCTGGAATGGAAATTTAATGGCAAATCTACAACTTTAGTTTGAAAATATGTTCCGGCCACCTATGTTTACAAAAATGTCTAAAATGTGCTTTACCATTGCCTCCATATTCTAAAAAAAATTGAAAGAAAAGTCACCAACCACAAACCTAATATAGAACTGTTTCGGAAGCCTGAGTCACCCTGTAAATATTCAAAAGTAACTGAAAGTTTATAGAGAAGTAACTGACAGTTTAAATTGAATATCGACGTTGGAGCGATTTTCGAAAACTATCTACTAACGTTTCAACATAAGTATATGTGGGATATTAATTATATTATTATATTAGACCTTATAACAAAACTCATCTAACGAAAAAGTGTTAATGTAGTATATTAATATGGAGTAAAAATTTTACTAATTACTTTACTTTTACTTTACTACTTAAATTCGTTCCAAAAAACGATACGCCACTGGCCATTAGAACAATCCAAATGTGCCTAGTTGCCGGGGTCGGAAATTTTAGACTTCCCTGTCTCTTCTGTCCTTGTTCGACACATTGGAATGTTTGATACACTACCAACGAGTATTTATGAATGAGAGTTCGGTCTATCTTTATAATGTCTTTGGTTTTAACTCTTTGATTTTTGGTATTATTTATTATTGTAGTGCAAAAAACTAATTATTTTGGTGTTGAAGTGACATAAACTACTACCAGATATATGGTCACTCTCGGTTTCGCATAAAAAAATAGAAATTTTAAAAATTACACGTTGTGTAAGTGATTTAACCTAAAAGTGCCCATACATTTTTTACTTATCGTGATTTTTGTGTGTGTTTTTTAAGACTCTAACAATTCATCAATAAAGCTTAAGTGGAGTGTGTTTTTGGTGCTATGCCTCATCTTTGTTGTGTTCCTGGTGGAAAGGATAGTTACTAAGGATAGTTATTATACTAGGCAGCCTAAAGTGTCCGGAAGAGCAAGAAAAGTGGGTACGAGTTATAAATCAAGAGAATTTTATTGAAAATATCTTTAATAAATTTAAAAATAATATTCTCCCATGATGGTATTAATGAAAACTGGACAATTATGTTATTTTATTCATATTGTGGAATCTCCACTCAAGTGTTGCTGGTTCAGCTTCGATAGATTCAAACATGTAAGTAGGTATTATGATCTAGGGAAAAATAAAGAATATGTGTATTAGAGATCATGAAAAAGATTATTATTTTGAGTTCAAATTTTAAAAAAGATTTTTGTAAAGACAAGACTGATACAGTTTAAAAGAAGAATGTGTTTTTGTTTGATAATATATAATGTATGTTAAGCATAACAAAAATTTGTTCAGTAATTTTTAATGAATAGTATTGATTATTTATAATACCAAATTAATATCAAATATTTAAGTGATGGCTGAATACAATATGAATAAAATAACAATAAAATTGGTATATTTGCATAATACAAAATTAAGTTTTAAGAATAAAGGTGTTCTAAAAATACTAAGAAATTCATATTTTTTAATTGGTCTAATGTTATTTACATTTTACGTAAGAATTATACCGTATCATCGAAAAAAAATCGGCGTCTAGTTGGCTTGAAATGAACATCGATGACATTCCCTAAATAACTGTACACATAAAATAATTAACTAGAATTTTTACAATCTTGGAAAATTTGATATTCTTGAACCTTGATTCTAAATATTCTAAATTTTTTTATTTTTTTGGAATTTAGGTTCGGGAAAAACTTGCTGATTGATTTTTCATTTGGTTTTCATTATTTTTATTTGGTTTAAAAAAAACGGTTCGGCTAACATTATAGCCTCCATCAGTGTTGTGTCATATGAAAAAAATAGTGTCGAATATAATCCAAAAATTGCATATAAAATATTCACACCACGCACATAATGCTTACTGCGTACTCCATAGTCAATGTAGATAGTTTTAGTGTTAAGAATAATAATTTTTAAAAAATATGTGGTCATCTTTTGATAAGTTTATATTAGTTTATTAATTGCAGTAAACTTATGAGGTGTGAATTATATTGTATATGTAATTTTTTGGATTATATTCGACACCATTTTTTCTCATATGACACAACACTGTAGAGGCTATAGTTAGCCGAAACGTTTTTAAAACAAATAAAAATAATGAAAACCCAAATGAAAACTTAATCAGCGTTTTTTCAAACTCTAAAAATCCCAAGAAAATCAAAAATTTTTAGAATAATTTAACATATAAAATGCCAGCGATCTTCATTTCATAGCCATCGCTGACGCCTTTTTTTAGATAATATTGTATTATTTGTAAATATAATTTTTCGAACATTGATACTTGCAAAATATACATATAAATTTTGTGAATACAAATAATAATACATCACTATTAGTAGATATTAAATGTTTTTTGTTAAATTAGATCGATTTTCAAACCCCAAAATTTAAAATATATTTACATTTTACCCATTATCTTATAATACCTATACATTATTTGTACATTGTAAAACATTTGCTGCATTTGTATGGTTCATAGTTTATTTGCCAAAAGTATTTATTACTATAAATAGGTATATATGTTGTAGTTATTAACTGTATATTATGTATATTTTATTTAAACTATATCATTTTAAAATACAAACCAAAATCTGAGGAATAATTATGTTTTCCATGTATTCTACAATATATTTATTAATCCGTTATATCTAACTAGCGTGACGTCTTAAATCTCGCCCGTAGGCTGATCTTTTAATAGAAGGCACTGAGCCAACAGCCAACGAAGGACCAAGGCAAGACCAGGGATATATAGTTATGAGAGCAATATTCACAAACTGAATGTCTTCCAGCCATCAAGGATGGCCGTATAACAAGCGTATAACATGGTCAAGGATATATAGAATAAGGATATTCGACTGGCCCAAAAAAAAAACGTGCCGTATTTTGTCGAGGAAGACGATTTCGTCACGACCAATGGGCGTCGAGTATTTGAAATTGAAAACATATAAATTGACGGTAACCTATGTTTTTGACTCATTTCACTGACAAATGTGATGACGATTGTTATTGTAATTTATAGATCCAAAATCCAAACGTTTTTTGAATAAATAATTTATTTTAAAGTTATTTCCTAGAGGTTTGGTTTGGCCTTCTATATTCTGGTATTTGTCTACTAATAAATAATATCTTATTTTGTATTTCGATGTATGGAAATTCGCAAGTTTTGTATCTGAAGCCGCAAAGAAATTTCGCTCTGTAGTGAGAAAAATGTTATTATATCTTTTTAGACGTGTAGAATTACAAAATTTCTTATTTCAGATGTTCTAAATGTGAGTGCTTAATGTCAAAAATTAAAATATATACTTGAAATATTATTTCAAGTTACATGCTTTGACATTGTTTGGAAGTAAACAAATATTGAAGAAAGTGTTGTGCCTTCACAGAATTTAAATTGGCATTAGGAATAGATTTCCTTGATTTAGTAATGATATTGCTCATAGAAATTGATGATATACTATTTTATATTCACTCGTTCAAGTGCTGATCTATTTTTAAATTGAATATTTATGTAAATATTATGTATAACACGATATAAATAATTTAAGGACATAAGAAATTAATATTTCAAGTGTCAATATTGATTATTTTTCCAGTTTTATTCAAATATATTGAAATTAATATGGAAACAAAAGTTCATAAATATTATTCTTAATAACAAGAATTGAGATTTGGGGATAAGTTTGAAAAGCCATGTCAGAAGAGTAGGATTAAAGACAAGTATTAAGGTAACATATATTTGCATAAGTTTTAATAACACTGACAATTTTATTTGTTTATGTTTATTAATTAAAATTTAGTTGCAATTTATTTCATATTCTAATATTTTTGAGAAAATTTTACTTTTATACATACCTGAATATTATGCTGCTTTTTTATTTTAAAGTGTGCCGACTGTGCTGTTATTTTTATACTAATAATATTGTATACTGTAGGTATCGTATTCATATATAGTTATATATATATATCAGTATATATACATATATATATATATATATATATATATATATATATATATATATATATATATATATATATATATATATATATATATATACTCTTCATATATATATATATATATATATATATATATATATATATATAGATACCCCTACTTTCTTTTCTATGTGTACTTATATCCTTTATAGTCTTTCTAAGTGCATATAATACTACATTTTAAGAGAAGGCAGTTTTTTAATAATCTATTGTTAATTCCCCCTAATTCTGTGTCCCCTGGTTCTGCTATACAACAATTATATATTTTTTTATTATTACTGATTTTAAAAACTTCTTTTCAAAGAATTTGACCATATATCTTTTTTCAGAGTAATTGGGCTGTTCCTGAACAATATTGAATATAAAATATTTAAAAATATGATTGATAACTGCATATCCTACTAAGTAGATCAATACCAAAATCCCATTAGAGAAATAAGTTAAAATTATGTTTTACTTGTATAATTTTCTTGCTATTTGTCCACCATTATTTGTGACTTAGAAATTAAATAGTCAAAAAGAATATAGTACCAGTTTTTATTTCCCAAAAAAAATAATTATTAAATAATTACATATTGCTTAAGATACAGTATATTATATTGTGTTTATAGTTGATAATTCTAGTTCTTAGTTGTTTATAGTTGATAATTAACAATATTTCTGATGTTAGATATTATATTTGATAAAAAATTTAATTACCAATAGCTACCTACCTATGTAGCTGCAGATTATATATTGTGTAGTAGGTACTGAATAATTCTTTAGTTCAAGAAACAAATATCAGTACAAGTATATAACCAAAAAAATGTTGATGCAAATACTTTGTATAACATACGTACCCCTATGGTATTCAACTTTTCATTGTTCTTTTAATTAGATACACAATAAGCACATTAATTCGTTTATTAAACAACCAAAACTAACTACTTAAATTCACAATAAATGTATAAGCTTTGATCAATTCCTATTATTAATACCTACGACTTCATACTTTATAACTACCAATGGCTATCCTACTAACACACTAGCCAACTAATAATAAATCTGTTCTAAAAAATACAACATAAAGACATCGTTATTGCAATAATATAGAAATATATTCCATGTATCATTAACTACCTAGGTATAAAATACAATACCCACATCTTCTTTTAAGCGAATAGTGCGTTAGGAGGCAGATATATTGCCTGCATTGTACATCGTTACAAATTGGCTAGAATTTATTAATATCCATTGCAAACATTTCTCTTTCAAAGGGTCTAAATGTTTTGTCTTTTTACTGTGTCCCTGTAATATGTTATCAATTAACAACAGTTATCAAATATGATCTGGACAATAATAATTGTTTTACCTTTTTTTCAAACTAAACTCTTTAAACAAACTATATAAATAAAATTTATCTCATAACCTAACTTGCTGCTAGAATTTCTTTCTTGTTATTCTATGTTCCTGTATTGTTATTCTTCACATTATCAATTTCTATGAGCAATATCATTACTAAATCAAGGAAATCTATTCCTAATGCCAATTTAAATTCTGTGAAGGCACAACACTTTCTTCAATATTTGTTTACTTCCAAAAAATGTCAAAGCATATAACATGAAATATTTCAAGTATATATTTAAATTTTTGACATGCACTCACATTTAGAACATCTGAAATAAGAAATTTTGTAATTCTACACGTCTAAAAAGATATAATAACATTTTTCTCACTATAGAGCGAAATTTTTTGCGGCTTCAGATACAAAACTTGCGGATTTCCATACATCGAAATACAAAATAAGATATTATTTATTAGTAGACAAATCTAGGAAAAACTCTAGGAAATAAACTCTAGGAAATAACTTTAAAATACATTATTTTTTCAAAAAACGTTTGGATCTATAAATTACAATAATAATCACATCACATCTGTCAGTGAAATGAGTCTTAAATACATTATGTGTTTTTAAAGCTTCAACTTCTTATAACCTCACCTCAAACCTTTGATATTTGAAAGTTACATACATAGGTTACATAAACTACACCCTCTACATAAACTACATTAACTACATGTAATGTAGTTTATGTAGTTTTTAAAAGTAACATGTAGTTTTCCGAACCCTGGTTGTATCATCGTCCCATCCTTGGTCAAGGCAAGGGTCAAGGCCAAGTGAAGGCTAAGCTAAAACCATAGACTAATGTTGAGCTGGAATTATAGTTCATACAAATTTATACAAAAACAAAACATTCCTTCTTTTTGTATTTGGATAGTTCAGATGTACCGGGTGTTACATCCTTAGATTAAGGTTAGATTTTTCCATCGTAGATTTTCCTTGATATTTGAAGAATTTATTTTCAATATTAAAATATAAAAAATGTCTCTATCTCAAAAACATTCCGGATTAATTCTTGTTCCTTGGTTTAACAAGTATGTATAAGTCGATATAAGTTGTTTTAGCTCTAAATTGCTTGATTTTAGAATGGAATGGGATCATGTCTATAATTTAGTTTATTCAGAAAATAAAGCGAAACAATCAGAAGCTTTAAATATACTTAAAATGTGGAAGGCAAGAACCCCGATTCTACCAGCAGGAGTGGAAGGAACACTTATCATATTAGAAGCATTGTTAATTGATGATCAGCTGCTCACATATGAACAATTTACTAAGTTATATTCTGTTGCTTTAATGAGGTAATATGTTTTACATTGCAGCGATTTAAAACTATATATTCATGAAAGAATAACTACAACTTACTTGGAAAAAATTGAATTGATTACCCACACATTATATTTTTAACTGTAATAATTGAAGGGTTCAGGGGAAAAACATATAATAGGTGCCATTTTAATAATTGTACAGGAGAGCGAGGAGAGCCCTGGATGGCTGGTGGTTCTCAGGTTATTTATATGCAGATTTTATACATTTTGTAGGAACCAGTTAGACCTACTACAATATATTGCAAAACTCTCAAATAAAGAAATTAGCACTTATGTTTTTCCTCTCGACCCTTCACTTGTACTTTTACACTGGACGCGCGTTTCGCTAACCATGTTAGCATCATCAGCAGATGATTATAAACTAAAAAACTTAGTTAATTTATAATCATCTGCTGATGATGCTACATACATATACGCGCGTTTCGCTACGACATGGTTAGCGAAACGCGCGTCCAGTGTAAAAGTAAAAGTGTTTTGGTGTATTCTGGTGATTTAGTGTAATTTTATTTTGCTGTGTAACACCAAAGGTTCCAACCCTCAACTGTAACCTTCACTTGATATAACAAATTTTAGATTTCTTAACTTATCTGCTGCAAACAGTGATAAACAAGGTACCTTTTCAAGAACGTCATCAAAAAATGAATTGCCAAAGTGGTTAGTAAACCTAAGACATGATATTGCACATGGTCATCAAATACCTTCCAAATTTAATTTACAAACAGGTTTAAATTTTGGTTTCAAATGGTTAAAAGAAAAATATTGGAGATCGCAGGAAAACAAATTAATTGGTAGAACAACTTTATTGTTTTAATTCTATGCATATTCTACTGGTAGTCTTTTACAGATTTTTATGGAGAAACTAATGAAGGTCTAGTAACTAATGTAAAAGCTTATGTCAATTTAAATATGCTATTATTTAAAAGTTCTGAATTAGACGAATCTTATGTTGACCAGATTAAACAAAAGTTTTATAAAAAGTATAAAAAGAAGATTAATTATCCTTCTGAAATACTGGAAATTTTGGAAGAAACTATTCGACAAAGTTTAGATGCCGATCAGTCAGAGAAAAATGTGAATGAGTTGCTAAATGTCCTTGTATCCATTGAAGGTTTACTTAAAACTAATTTGGATAGTCATACAGAACAAGGTAAAAATTTACATTTTTTAGTAATATTTTAAATGGTTATTATTAATAGATATTATTTTAGGCGAAATAAAAATTATTAAAGATTTTCGAAATATTTGGAAGAATATAATAAGCCTGTTACATCACTTCAATCTTTTGTTTAGTTTAATCTCAAAGTTGTTTCATGAAATGTCTGATGTTTCAAATTTTGATAATACCAAAAAAATGGCTTCAATATGGATAAGGGAGTTATTAATTTCACTGATGTACTTGAAATACAAGGTAAATATATTTTATTCTTTTAAATGTCATTTATTTATAACAAGAATTATTTTTAGGACAGCATGAAAGAAAATTTTGATTATTTAGAAATCCATTCCAATGGATATTTATATGAAAGAGAATTATTACAGTTTCAAGATAAAGTTCTGGTTTCATCTAATGAGCATTCTATTAATTTTATAGATATGTAAATGTATACAAGTTTTTAAAGTTTATTTTGTAATTAAATAGTACCTTTTCAGATTACTGAAATATAACAGAAATACTGAGGAGTTTAATTCAACTGCAATCGATTTAATTAACTTTCATTATTTGCCAGGAAGTTTAGCAAATGTAGAAAATATAATATTTTCAGTATCTGATTTGGAGAGCTCCAATATTTTTGATGAAAGTGTGGATGCAGTAGAATATACAGAAAGTAATGTCAGTCACTATTCTAACGATAACAATTTACATGAAATAAAAGCAGGTGCTAAGTGGACAAAAATTACAGGTAATAACAATTGCAATATTTTTTTTAAATTAAGTAATAATGGTGATATTTTTAGATACCTCAGCTTTCAAAAACTGCCCTGTTGGAATATTACCTCATCAAATTCAAAAACGACATCCTTTTTTATTGTAATTAATAAAAGATAGCTAATAAAATAATTTTAGAAAAGAAAAAAATCTTACAATTCTTGCACTGAGATGTATGGTTTATTAATTTTTAATATGCATAATTCACCCTAGATAAGTATTTTTATATATTTATTTAAAAGAAATGCCGCCCTTTTTTAACTCAGCATTAGTAGTTCAAATGTATCGCCCTTTAAATCTAGGTCAAATTTGACGTCCGTCGATTTGTCAATGATGAAAACTGTGGATGAAAATAATAAAAGCCAAATAATGCAAAATTTTGAATGAAAAATTGTTTATCTACTTTTACTTCGGAATTATTTACTTTGTAAGGTATAAGTTTTCACTATTTTGTTATTAACCATTGGGGATATCCATATATCTAATTGAATTACAAGTTATATTACTTCAAAATTTTCACTTATAATACTGACTGAAATAGGTGGGAAAGGGTGGAACACTTTTGTTTTATTTCATAGCTAACATTCTCATAATGTAATTAACTAAAAATATATAATTAACACCATTAATTAAAATATCGTGATAATTTTAATACATCATTATTAATGTGTATGCATGGTAAACTTGATCAAACTAAGAATGGAAAATAAGAAATAAATTTTATATTTTATATACCTAATTTCCTGTGATAATATAGTAATATTTAATATTTACTTACTCAAATCGTACTATATTCTTTTACTCTAATATTAAGTAGAGACCAAACAGTTCAATAGTTTATTAATAAATCCTTTTTTAATATCCTTCAATGTTCTCTGAAGCTAAATAAATTTATTTCATTATTTATTAAACTTTAATTTATACCTTTTTGATTAATTAAGTGCTTCCAGAATACTGAACTTCAGTTCAAGTTTTAATTGATTATAGGTCAGTTAGATCCAGAGGTTAGAGCTAATATTGATAGTTATCACTAGATATGTATTTACTTTTATGTCTTTATTAATAGCGAAATTAAGTTTACTAATGAATTATTGATTGTCTGCAAAGTGCCAAGGTTGATTAATTTGTAATTTATGGATTGGCCTATATTAAATATAATCCTTGAAATATTTTATAATAGGAATAATAAAAATACAACCTATTTAAACAAATTTCAATAGAAAAAGGGCTGTGGAATTAGCCTAACAATTAATTAGGTATCTTATTATGTGTAATAACAGTAAATATGCAACAAAACTAATTTCTAGTAACTGTTCCTTGGATATGGAACCACCAGGTATGGAAAGCGGAATGGAGTTTCCAAAAAATCCTTTACTTTGCCCTATATGCCATGATTATTTTACTGAACCCTGTATATTAAGCTGTTACCACACTTTTTGTGCTAGATGTCTGAGAGGAAGAGAACAAGACCGAAGACTTGTTTGCCCATTTTGCAGGTAAAATAACAATTATTTTTTTATAACACATACCTATACATAACATTTTTTATAATATTGTAAATGTCCTATCTATAATTTCAGACAGCCTACTTTACTGAAGGATGGAAATTCATTACCTCCACCTGATTCATTAATGAGGCAGCTAATTGATATAGCCAATAGTGAAAATCCCCCATGTTGCAATTGTGACAAGAGGGATAGAGCCAATATGTACTACTGCAACACTTGTGGTACAAAGCTTAAACATATATTTTTAAGTTTTATTTTATTTAGCTGTCTTTAGGTTGGTTCTGAGTTATATAAATTTTGTTTTCCAACAATATTTCGAATTATATTTTATTTACATATATTTCCAATAATTTTAGGCCAAGCACTATGCAGTCACTGTCGAGACACCACACATAGAGCTAAAATGTTTTCAAGTCATGAAGTAGTTCATATGACTAAATGTCAAAAAGAGCCTAAAAGGGTAATTTAATCTGATTTTAAGGGAAGAACATATAAGATATTGGTATTTTTTAGTGTCCCCAACATGGCGAACATTATATAATGTATTCTCCTCTACAAAATACTATGCTTTGTGTAAACTGCTTTCGCGATTTACCCAACGAAATTCGATCTCAGTGTGTTGATATAGATACAGCTCATGGCCAGGCATCAAAGAAACTAGAAAGAGGTCAGAATGCTATCATGGATCTTCAAGTAAGTGATGGATCTATTTCTCAGACTTAATTACTTATGTTTTAACATGAAACATTAATCAATAATTTACACTAGACCTCTGTCCGAGATGGCATAATAGCTCTCAAAGGACTCATGGATGAATTAAGACGTAATATGGATGCAGAGAAACATACAATTAATACTTTCTGTCAAGGTATGCAAGAAGCTATGTCTAAAACTCATGCTGCTATGATTATGGAAGTCCAAAGACAATATGATAGTAAAGAAAGAGTTTACAGAAGTCAGTTGCTGTTACTGGGTTAGTTTCTTATTTTAATATTTTTTTGAAAGTAATATCTCCGAAACCTGATATTTTAGGGACTGTTATGCCAGTACTTCAGCTACATCTTGTCTTATGCACAACATTTACTGCTGCCGCTAATAAATATCAGTTCTTAGAGCTCTGTCCTTCATTAATTGACAGATTAGCAGCTGTTGGTAATCTTAGTCAACCAGTCAGGTATATAGATAAATTCCAATGACTAAAGAATACAAGGACAATTAACACCCAATACCAAATTGTTACCATACCACCAAACAGTGCCGTGGCACATATTTTTCTTAACTTAGCTGCTTGAAGAGATATTTTTTATACAGGGTGGTCCTAATTGTATTCCGGAAACTTTGGCAGCATATTCTTCAGATAAAAATAAGTGAAAAAGTTCGTATAAATGTATGTTCTAAAGTGGTTAGTTTCGGAGATACAGGGTGTAGAAGTTTCACTTTTATTTCGAGTTTTTCCAAATAATTTCTGAATCAATGTCAATATTTGGATGAAAATTGGTGTCTGGAAGTACATATTTTTTAACTGGTTTGAAGAGTAATAACTTTTCGTCCGTACCTGTATAAAACTACTGAGTAAAAAAATATACATTTACGAAGCTTTTTACGTAGAAAAGGTCTCTTGGTAAAACTCGCTACGAGTAATGGTTTTCGAGATATTTGGAATCGAAATTATCAATACCTGTCATCACTGACATAAATTAAACATGTTGACTAAATAGTTATTAGACTAAGATCATAAATTTGAAATGTTTTTGTACCAAAAGTTCAAGAAAAACTGTTTTATCATCATTTTTTTGCAGAAAAAATATGATTAATTTAAAAAAATAAAAATTTCCCAAATTTATTATTTCAGTGAAATAACTAATATCTACTCAACGTGTTTATTTTTCGTTAATAATGGCATGTATTGACTATTTCCATTCTAAATATCTTGAGAACGGTTGCTGGTAGCGATTTTTACAAAGAGATATTTTTTACGTAAAAATCACAGAGATGTATATTTTTCCCCTCGGTAGTTTTATACAGGTACGGACAAAAAGTTATTACGCTTCAAAACAGTTAAAACACATGTAGGTGGCTCCCTCTACCAGTAGGAGTCATATTGACATCAAAATCAAATTTCTCATGTAAAAAAACTCCCAGACACCAATTTTCATCTAAATATTGACGTTACTTCAGAAATTATTTGGATAGAATCGAAATAAAAATGAAATATCTACACCCTGTATCTCCGAAACTAAGCATTTTAGGACATACATTTATACAAACTTTTTTACCTATTTTTATCTGCAGAATATGCTGCCGAAGTTTCCGGAATACAATTCGGACCACCCTGTATTTTTATAAATGTTTTGACTACGCCTATGGTATAGAGTGCGGTGGTATTATACTAATTAATTACACGAAAAAAACGTATTAAAATTTTAACAAAAGGTACAAAACTAGTATCCACGTATAGCACATATTAAGTATATATAATATCAGAAAAATAACTATCAAATTCGATAAGAAAACGGTAAAAAGGCGCAGTGGACTGATTATTTGCATATGGAAACGTAACGCTTGGCTCTTTCTTATCGCTGCGACTTTTACATTTGAAAACTGAACAGCTAATCACCATTGTAATAAAGTTTATACGAAGTTCACTACACACAAACTATTAAAAATCGCTAAAATTGTCACTGATGACCAGTTGATGACATTCGTTACAACCAAAAAGATGGCGTCTAACATTACAAATTCTGCTGCAGTCCGTATATGGAGGTTACATGTCTTCGTATTCTTTAGTCATTGATAAATTCGCTCCATTTCCCGGTTCTTAAAAATATAATTTTAGATCTTTGCAATCGTCCCAGATTAAAACAAATTATAGAAGCGAATTTGCGCAATGCTTAGAACCATGGATAGGTCCCGCCGCTGTTTCTCAACATCAATCAGAATTAGCAGCAAGTAAGTTAAATTTTAATACAGAGGCGTAAAGCGAAGGAGGAGTATTGGCAATGGGCTTACAGATGAGTCTGATAATTTGAATCTCTGTTGCCTGTACTCTGTAGAGAGCATGGTATCACAAGAACGCATTTTTCTCAAAAATTGCGCAATTTTTATTACTATATCGATTTTTCCAAGTATATTTAAAAAAGTCTTTGATGATTAAATTTATTTCCAGTTAGAGATAAGTTAAACTGAATAAATTATTATCTATCCAAGAACAACTATAAACGCTATAGACTATCCAATGACAAAATCCTTGACAATGATAGATGTGTCTGTCATTTTAATTTAATCTGTTAAGTAGTTTATTTTATTTTACGAATAAATAAGTTGGTGCAATTGGAACGCTAAAGTTTCATTCAGAACCTCGCAATTAGTGGAATATATTCAGCGCGTTCAGGGACGGTCAGCGGCTGAGTGGCTGAGTAAGCGAATTCCCTAAACGGTCTATTCTGACGAACAGCAACAGTCAGCCGCTGTGCAAAATTCTCAGCGGTAAATATTTAGGCTGAGACAAGTCAGCCTTGATCTATTTCCCTATCTGTGGTCAACTAATGTAAATTAACTTGATTTCCATCTCAAGTCGAATTTTCTGAATACAATGAAAAAATGAAAAAAAAATGCGCTCAGTTGGCTTAGAAATGACGATCGATAACATTCCCTATATAATTTTACTTATAAAATAACAGCAATCTTCATCTCCACGTCACCCCTGACGTTGTTTTTTTATTGTATGGTATTTACACCCTCAATAATACACCTAAATAATACACACCTAATTTTATTTGTACCCTATCATTGAAAAAAAAATGCGCAAAAGGTGACTTGGTCGAACTGCCAGTTCCTGTTATTTTAAGTTGTTTTGTTTAGGTGTATAAGTAAAATTATTTATAAACTGTTATTTTTTAGAAATTTAATGTTTAATACTGTATTGTCAAATTCAAATAATATATTTTATGATCAGCCAGTAATAATTCTTTTTTCAAAATAATTTCTATCCTAAAGACTATAGATCGATTATAGACCGATTTGAAGAAGATTTATTTATATTTCTCTCAAATTTTTATAGTAGAGAGAGAGCGCATGAGACAACTGTTGTTTCTTGTTCTTTTTGCCGTTTAGGAAATATCGTAAAATGTCATAAGTCAAGGGTCAGCGAAATTCTACGTTGAATGTCAGCGGCTGTGTTCCCTGAACGCGCCCATTAGTGGTTTCAATTACACTTTATACTTTTTAGTTTTAAGTTTTTAGTTAAAAGAAAAATATTGGAGTTCGCAGGAAAACAAATTAATTGGTAGAACAAATTTATTGTTTTAATTCTATGCATATTCTACTAGTTATCTTTTACAGATTTTTATGGAGAAACGAATGAAGATCTAGTAACAAATGTAAAAAGCTTATGTTAATTTAATTATGTTATTATATTTAAAAGTTCTGAATTGGATGAATCATATTTATGTTGACCAGATATAATTTCGGGTTCATAGGCATCTGCGTCCGTGCATCGTTCATCGTTCCGTCCCTCCAATAATATTAATATATGATCTGTCATTTTTGAAATATACTCAGTTTTTTTTTCTCAGATAAGCTTTCGACAGACGATGACAGGAAAAAAAGCAGATGACGTCCCATACCAATTTATTTATTTTACTAAAAAAAGTTTCTAATATTTTTTTAAGTTTACTATGGATGGGTTTCGTCATGCGTCATCTCTTGTTGTTTTTAACCAAGGACTGTATATATTCCTTTGAATAAGAAGACTAAGGAAGGAGCATAATGCTATCCATGTATTCATGCATGGTGGGCGGAAAAGCCACCATAAAAGCTCTCTAGGGTGGGGATCCTTGACAGTTCTGTTTGACGATTCATTTGACACATTTGAATTTGATTTGAAATTTTGTGGATTTGTCAGTCTTTACGGAGCTTATTTTATGTTATTTATTATTTATTCTACTACTGATAGTTGTATAAAGGTAGTAAATCTAGATGGAAATTGTGGCAGAACTTAAATTAACAGTGACACTATCGCGATTTATCGAAAAAGACTCTAAAATAGTTGGTTGTGTAGCGTGCGGTAGATCTCGGCAAAAATTGAGTGAAATAATGGAACAACTTTTCGCTAGTAAGTGACTATATAATATACATACGTGTAGTAAACCGATCATTTATGAAATTCACTTAAATTAACTAAATTATATATTTTTCTTGCATTTTATCTTTTATTTATTACTTGTCAAAGATTAGATGTCAAAGAATTTAGATACGTTAATTTGACTTACCTGCCTCAGTAGCGTATCGGATGTTTGTGTTAATAAATACTTATTATAACTTATCTATTTTTATTAGAATTATATATTTTTATAACAATTTTAATTTAAACTACCAACATTTATTCACAACGTAAAATAAAACAACAAATTATTGAGTCTACCCCACGTCTACCCTACATCATCGTTTTACATTTTTTAAATAAAATTAGAACGACACTGATAAACCGGAATTTAAGTCGGCCATATTTGAGGCGCATCGCGGTGTACCTAAGATTTTTGATATGCTCCTTCCTTAGTCTTCTTATTCAAAGATATATTCTAAAGGACTGTTCGATCGCGTCAAAACGCCGCTGTCGTAGTCGCCGTGGAATGCTACGTCACGCGCTGACCAGCGCTCCACAGTGCGGCGGATGGTTATTCTAGCGGGACAAAATCTCAAGAGCAACGTTTTGGACTTAAAATCTAAGAACGTAGCAAATGGTCTAATATATAGCAACTATATGGTTAAATTTATTTATTTATTAACAACTTAATTTATTAATAAATAAATACAAGATAATAAAACTATGATATTATTCGTACATGACACACAAAAACCGTATTGTAAACTATTGCCAAATACATAAAATTATGATAATAAAAAACTCTTTAGCAGTTTTTTTTAAATTAATTTGTAATCTTGAGACACCCTCTATAATTTATTTTAAAAAAATATATTTTATTTTGAAAATAATAAATAAGATAGATATTTTAATTTTAACACTCGGTAATTGTAAATTCATATATAGTAAGTATCTAAGACAATTTTTTAAACTCAGTGCCTTTTGATGGAGTTGTTTTGTTTTTATACTATCCGATTGAAATGAATCTTTTTGGGCATTCACCTGTTAAGCTTGAACTCCCTGTGACTGTGACTACCTGTGTTGGTAACTATTGGTAACTCAAAAGATCTACATCATTCAGTATATCGATATTTGAAAAAAAAGTGAAAGTTTGATATCTGCAGAACAAAGGCACGAGAAGGATTTTAACAAATAATATACGTTCAGTAAGTACATACTTTTGGCATTCTTCAACATAATTTGGCTTTCTAATAAAATGTATAAGCACTTGTAAATATTTTGTTTTCGTATGATCTCTGCCTTGCTGAGCAGAAAACGACGAAATTTGGTTGATAAAAATGTATCGAAATACAAAGAATATTCATGCAAATGCAATGCATGGAATGTCTACTATTTATTCTTATCAGTACACATTTTTTGGCTTATTTCTAACCAAACGCTTTTGTCCCGCTAAATTTATCTTCCAACGCACTGTGCGCTCGCCCGTCAAATGCAAAAATAACTATCACTCTCTAAAATCTTTAGCGCCAACTTCAACTCGGTCAGTAAATGACGTAAAAAAACTGACAGTGCAGGAAGATAGGAATCGAACTATCCTTATGTCTATATAGTATCCTTGGTTTTTAACCAGTTTTATTGGTTTATTTCAAAAATGACAGATCTTATTTCAATATTATTGGTTTGACGGAAAGATGAACGACAAACAAACGCCGATGCGTGTGAACTCGTCTTAAGATTTTTGAGAGTTGTCAAACTCTTGCCAATTTATATGTTATAATTTTGTGTCAAATTATGTCAAATGGAAATGATAAATATTTTGCATTTTGGACTGTGTTATTACGTGTGTTTCGTGTTTTTTAAAATTAAGTGGAGGAAAACTCGCGGGAAAATTAAGTGTTGACCCAGACCATAGTTTACAGTTAATATTCGGTGCCCAGAGACCGCCAGAGACAGTTTGCCAGAGAGATGTATTAGCCACAAATAAAGTTTGTATACTATCTTGTATATGATACCAAAAACTGGAGTGTCTGTAAAATAGCAGCACCCGATAGGTAAATAATAATCATATTGAATAATTATATTGATAAATGTAACAATAAATGCAGGCAGTTGCTTGAGCTTGAAAGCCGGAAATCTTTTTTATATCTTTTTTGGATGTGGTGTTTTTATTTAAATAAACCCTTACTTGTTTTGTATTAACACATACTGTAATTGTTTTTAATAAAATAACTGGATTAGATTTTCTCAATTTTAAACAGTTTTTTTCACAATATTTTGAAGTAATCACTTGTCACTCAAATTTTAAATATATTAATTTTCTGCTATACGTTCCAGTTGTAGGTACCAACTTAATTCTTTGTAAAATAAAATAAACTAATTTGAAAATAAAATGACAGACACATCTATTACTGTCAAGGATCTTGTCGTTGGGCAGACTATACCAATAAAACTGTTTAAAAAAATCAAGAACGACGCATGACGGATTTATATACATATAAACACATCAAGAATTTTCTTCTAAGTTTTTGTTATAATTGATCAGTCAAGATTTCATCTTTGTATAAACACATCCGTAGTTAATTTAAAAAATATTAGAAACTTTTTTTAATGAAATAACTGGATTGGTCTATACAAATCCATTTATATTATGACTTGAGAAAAAAGCCAGATGGTCCATACGTCCATACATCATCTGTCTTTTTTCTGTCATCATCTGTCGTTATCTTACCTGAGTAAAAAAAGTATTTTAATGTTTTATAAACTGAAATATATTTATTTGTAAAATGTCATATCTTCCCAAGCAGGGATTAAAGTGCTTTCATAATATAGTTCTATATTATCCGTTTATTTATAGCTTCCAGATTATATGATACAGCTCCCCCTGTCACTAAGAAACAGCAAACGTCTATGAAAAATAAAATTTTAGAAGGCGACTCGTCCTTTTCCGCTCATTGTCGTTCATTTGAATCACAAATCAGAGAACTTAATCAAAAATTTAATGTAGTAAAAGAAAAAGTGGGAGATCTGCACAAGTAAGAGCGTATTTTTAAAACAACTTAAAAACATATTGTCTGGTATATATTTTCCAGGGATATTACTGTAATAAGAAAGGCACAAGCTCCACCTTTAGCTGCCAGATATGATATGCTTATTAGAGAATGTTTACATTTAGACCAGACATTGGAGAGGTAATTGTTATTTTTTTATTAATAATTCATTTTGGATTAATGATGTGTACATTTTAGACAACAACAAGAGCTAGAAAGAATGGCGGCAGCCTTTGACGCATCTTGGGAAGAGCAACTATGGCGTTTAAGAGTGGAACAAGAGGTATTCAGCTGTCAAAGAACAGACGTCAATACATTAAGAAATGAGTTGAAACATTTGAGTCAGGTTAGTACATATACAAGTTTTATTCATGTGGTAAAACCTAAAAAAAATATTTCTTCTGGAGGTTACACTTTAATTATTAACAACTTTGTAATTTAGGATTGTACTACAAATATTTTGAATTAAATATTTGCAATACAAATACGTGTGATAAGTTTTTTCGTGGTTGTACAGACTTTATTTTTATTGTAATTAGCAGTCAATAAAAGAATATAAATTTCAGTTTTTCAGATGAAAGTGACATTTGTCTTTGTAGGTTGCCACTCAACTTGAACCATATATAAGAAGTTTAACACCATCATCTGCCGGGCAGCAAGCAGCAGGATTCGGTGGCCAGGGCGATTCCCAACCAATTCCAACTGAACAAGCTCAACAACTAGCTTCTCTCTTGGAACATATTGGTAAGTTATATTTTATAAGTAAGTAAGTAAGTAATCTTAAATTCATAGAAGATTATTATTTGGGGTTCTGATCCCCAGTTAAAATTATAAGATTGCGTATTTTGTTACAATCTTCATGAAAGTTATATTATGTTCAAAAAAATCAATATATAGTATGTCCATTGAGAGGATACATCACTGACAGTTCTGCCTGTCATTTTAATTCACAAGGTAAGTTTTGTTTCCAACCATCCAAATTTTGGACGGTTTCTGGGAAAACAATAAGGTGGCGCGACATTCGTAAAAATTTCAAAAACTAAACTAAATTACAACAGTCTTAAATGCATTAGGGGCAACAGTAAAGAGTTGTTTCTTTTACAAATTGTAAGAATGTAAACTCTATTGTCACACATTGCTTATTCACGCCGGATCGAGACCGAATGAGATCGCATATCTCGTGAGTAAGAGTCGATTTAGACACTCGCCAATCGGTAGACCATTAACAAGCATCATTCAACGCAGCCGAGGGCCGCGGTTTGGCTTTCGCGTAAACAAAGTAGGCCCCATTATTAGCCTTAACAGGAAATAGGAGACATAAACCTCACATACTTTTACTTTACTACTTTTAAATGCATTAAATATGATTTAAAGGGGTACTGATATTATCATTTTGTTAATAATTAGATAACATGGTTGAAAAGGTAAAGAAAGAATACTTGTTTCATATTTTTTTAAACTTTATTAAGGAAATAACTCATTAGTAAAACTCCACATATCACTTTAGTATGTTTCTCTATGTGTCTAATCACAAACTTTTTATGGAACAGATTGCAGACCTCTCCCTCGAGTTAAAAAAAATAAATTTTCCTTTATATGACTCCCATATGTTCGAAACATAACTGGTGTGAAGTTACTTTAGAAATAATGATTGATGACATCATATAATCGTACATATAGCTAAAATATATGAACGATTGTCCTTCCTAGGGTAACTTGACGCAGTTTTATTTATAAATGATCATTCTTTTAGAAAGTCAAGATGTTAGGTTAGGAGAAAACGCTATTTAGCCACTAAAAAGTTTTCACATTTGGAAGTTTACTTTATTTTGACATTTATAATGCTGAGTGGTAACACTGTTACTTACAAAAAAATATTTCCTGTAAAGCCCCGTTCTCAGAACTTCGTACTGTCGCCAGTGACACGTGAAAAGAACGAATGAGATTTGTACAAAATTCAAACTGCAATATTCTACAAATCTCATTGGTTCTTTTGATGTTCTGAGAACGGGGCTTAAGACCGTAATATTTTTCAGTTAGTAATCTTTGTTTACAGTTATGAAAGTATAAATTTCTATACTGTACTTAATTGTCATTAAGAATGTATACTATTATTATGATAAATAATTCTTTATGGTATGTAGAGATAATAATAGATAAATTGTATTGTCTGTCCGGCAATGGAATAGATGATATCGACATTCGACATCCATCAAATGACAAAACAAATAATTTACTTTTGAATCTAAAGAAGGACAACAACCATGAAAGACTATACATTATATGAATATTTTGTGCTACACATAACAGAAGAATAATGAGAGAAAGGGTAATTTAACATTTTTTAAAACCCATACTCCAACACAGGAATATCAGGATATTCGTTATAGGAAATTCTGTTCTTGTTATTTTCTATTATCTTAGTATAATCCATATCTTCTTTTGGACCAGTAACTTCAAGAAAAGTCTCGCTTGTCTTTTTCTCCTCTTGAGCCTGTTTATCCTTATCTTTTTTGTCATTTAATTTTGCCTTTTCTGTATTCTTTTCCTGCTTTACAAGTTTTTTGAAATTTAATTTTGGCAGACTTAACACCAAGTGTCCTGTAATTGAATTCTTTATTTAAAAAATAATTTATATTTTAATAGTTTAAAACCTGTAGTTTGTGAACGCAAAGCAGTACTGTTTTCTATTTGAATTTCTTCAGGAAATACTATTTGGAAAACTTTTCCTTTAATTGTTAATTTTACATAGATTGGTTGTAAGTCAATGTCAATGAGGTTGGTGTCAAGAAATTTATATAAAGCCACATCCAACACAAATTTATCTGGGCTGTCATCTGTAAACTTAAAACCTAATTTTGCTTCATTCACGTTTAAAGGTCGACCATCTTTTGCGAAAAGTCTTACTGTTCTCTTGACCTTCATATTGCTAGCTACAGAAGAATATTACGCATATAATAGTCACTTTATTTCTGTGGTCTGTATCTTTAATGCATACGACAGAGATAAATATATACGACCAGTTGACAGACAGAGAGACAAAATAAAAAGCGGCATACAATGTTGTCGGTTCGTACGAGAAATAAAATAATAAAGGAAGATAATATATCTAAGCTATTCAATAATGCTCATTTCTGTTAGACAGTTGTTTAGGAATCTATTGCAGCTGTAGTAAAATGAGTAACCTAACTGTGAAAAATAAAGTTCCAACTCTACAGTATATCGGTATTTCTGTGGTAATATGAATTCGATTTAATTCTTTGATAGATGGTTATTGTTAATTTGGTTAATATCATATTCTTTGCTGGTGTTAAAGTATGATATTTTCCAATAACTATCATCACCCTTTCCGTAGCCTTGAACTAAATAAATGTTGTGCTTCTTTCATGTTTTTTGTTGTTTTAAAATATTTTTTAATATAATAATAATAGCTCCCGTCTATAGCGTTTAACGCCTTGGGAGTAGCAAGGTACAGCTTGCCATACTAGAGCCGTTCGGTATACAAGGAAGGTAATGTGGCTAGCACTACGCTTCAACCGCCTATTATTACCTCAGGATTGTGAATCCCAAGTACTCATTTAAAGCTGAGTCGACCTAGGTACCCAAACTATTTTTATTAAAATAAAAATAGTCGGCTGATGCAATGCCGGGTATGGGGATCGAACCCACTTCCTTCAGATTGGTAGACGAGAGCCTGTACCTCTACGCCACCGGGCACCTTAAAAAAATATTTTTTAAAACAACAAAAAACATTACGTTATTTAATATTCTATGAATAACAATATATTGTTGTCAAAGAATGAATTCAAATTGATATTACCATAAACAGACTTCAAATACTTTTGGAAAAAAATCAACCATATTTTCATGTTTTTCTTAACTTGCTCTAAAACAGCATGGAAATTTGGAAAATTATATAAACGGGATTAACCATTAAAGTACAAGCAATTTTTTTATGAAATATGGATTTTTCTCAAAATGTCAATAATAAAAAAGTGTTTCCTCTTGAAAAGACACTCCGGGGACATACTGTAGATGCAACATTTTTCGTAAACACCTACTAGTGCGATTTGAAATTTTGATGCAAAATCCGGCAATACCGCCTAGAAGAAATGTATCAACCTAACTTTTATCCCTTTTTAATACTGTCTACATCACTGTCTTACACGTTAAAATCCAGACCACACAGTTTCGATGACCAGATCGGTATGTTTCAATTATTAATTGATCACTTCTTTCAAATAATCTACCTGTATCTACATTCGAGTCTCTCTTTCTTTGTCTTTTAGATATTTCTAATCGTGTTTCTGGGCTATTCTCACTTACGCTTTTCCAAAATTCATCGTCAGTTAAATGAGAATTATCTTTCTGTAGCATTCGATTTTTTTGATTTTCTCTAAATTTTCTAAAATACCAATAAAATTATATATCTCATTTTATATTGATTCGCTGAAAATTATTTGATATAAATTTACTTATATTCTTCTTGGGCCTTTAAAATAATTTTTTCGTTCTCTATCAAATTTTGTTGAGCTTTTATCCTTTCACTTCTCGATATTTCTTTGACGTCCAAACTCTCTAACTGAGGTAATTGCGCTATTACGTACTCTCTATATCCTTCAAAATCGCAACATGGATTACCTAAGAAGGCCATTTTATTATACAGGGTGTTTCAAAAAACATGTGCCATCTCTCGTGTGGAGATTCCTCACTTAAAAATAAGATTTATTTTTCATATCAACATAGCTCCGATTCTCCTTTGTTTCGTAGCTACGGGGTGTTAAAGTCTTAATATTTTTGCGATTTATTAATTCTCTTCCAAGTACTTTTAGTGTTTCAAATGAAATTTTGACTGTAAAAGTTACTATAAGTGCTACATATTTTAACGCTAAAAAAGTATCTATGAACACATCAGGGACGTGCATATGGGTTATCACTGGAATATTTTTCAAAAAAAACATGGGCGCCACTGACTTTTTCTTTTGATATCAAAATTATGTAGGCCGTTTAATGCCAATTAAAAGTTATCTCTTGATATTTTGTCGAATTCGGCCTGAGATAAACGCAATTTTATGAATCACAATAATTAATAAAATTAATAAATTATATATTTTACTTAATTTATTATTAAATATTATTACTATTAGTTATTATTTTTATTAGTCCAACCTACAGCAATTTCAAATAAAAAAATAATGGTATTTACGTGTAATTACAAAAAAAAACCTAATTTTTAAAAGTTTCATCCTGTAACTCTAAAATTATACATTTCCATACCCATGTTAATAGGAACTTTTTTTCATATTTTTTGATGAGGAATCAATGAGTACTTATTTAAAACTTTTTCAACTTAATGAACATTCATTTTTTTTAAGGCTTGGATCAAGGAAAATTAATAAAATTGCGTTTATCTCCGGCAAGGAGGCCGAAATCGACAAAATATCAAGAGACAACTTTTAATCGGCATTAAACAGTTTATATTATTTCGCTAACAAGAGAAAAAAAGTCAGTGGCGTACATGCTTTTTTTTAGAAAAATAATCCAGTGATAACCCATATGTACGTCCCTGGTGAATTTGTTGACACTTTTTTAGGTTTAAAATATGTCGCATTTATAGTAACTTTTATCCTCAAAATTTCATTCGAAGTCGATCGCAAAAAGTACTTGGAAGAAAGTTATAATAAATCGAAAAAATACTAAAACTTTAACACCCTGTAGCTACGAAACAAGCTAGAATCGGACCTATGTTGATATGAAAAATTAATCTTATTTTTACGTGAGGAATCTCCCCACGAGAGACGGCACATGTTTTTTAAAACACTCTGTATTTAGTAAGTTTTAATTTACATTTACATGTGGGTACCTGTTAAGTATAAATGTTTTAAAAATATATTTTTCTTCAGTTTCTTAACACTTTCTAAATCCCCAATAAAATTTAATGTGAGATCTAATTTTTCTAAAGATTCACATCCTTCTAAATTTTCTATTTTCTCTACATTATTTATAGCTAAGTTTAGGTACTGGAGTTTTTTCAATTTATTTAAGTTTTCAATTTTTGAGATTTGATTAGCTTGTAAATATAAAATTTCTAATTCTCTGCACCAATTATTCAGATGTTCAATTTTTTCAATGTCTTCCTGGTGTAAAGATAGTTCTTCTAAAGTTCCAATAATACCTATAATATATTGATATTATGTTACAACATTTTGTACCTATAATAATTATTAAAAAGTGATGATAACTCATATAAAGGACTTATTTTTTACCTTCATTATGTTCAGATTTTTTTCTTACTAATTCTTCTGTAATTAAAACCATTTTTCAATGATATTTTTGTGAAAATATTTTATTGATCAATCAATACTGTTACTATAGAAATATGTTTTTGTGTCACATAATTAGTTTATTTATCAACATTGCACCTTGGCAACGCTGTACATTTTCGCGTTGAACTTAGATTAACATTTTTTTTATTAAAAAAGTAAAGATGGCGCTGATATTTTATTACGTCGTTAATTTTTTGATATTTATATGATCTCTACTCAGAGGTAAGAGAGAGAGAAAGAGAGACGCATTTATAATAAATAGCAGTAAAAACATGTTAACATATTTCTTCTCCAAGGTAGTGATTAGGGTCCTTATACAGGGTGGGCCAGTTATACCAGGTGCGTCTCAAAAGTGGCTCACCCCTATAACTTTTTTTATTTTCTCAGATAAGAAGACGAGATTTTGTACGTTAGTATATGACGTAAATTAGGATTGATTGACATATTCAATATTCAATTGTTTTCGGTCGCTTCCTGTTTCACCAGAAATGAGTACAACTTTTCATTTTTAAATGGCTCCCTCGGTATTTTTTTACTTTAATCGATAGAATATGACATTGTGAATAGAATGACATATCATATGTCAACTTTTGACATTCTCGCTTAATAAAAAATTGTATTTTAAATTTCACTCTAGAGCCATGGCTGTGTTAAAAACACTAGTTTTTAATCAAGGAGCCTTGGAAAAATAAATTTGATCGTCTAATGTTTTTAGTGTCTTGTCCTGACCACTCTGGCCAGTTAAAGATGCCCAAATCGTATTTTCATATCTCAATTTTTTGAAATGGAACGAGGGTGGCTCATTGGCATATTTGGAAAAAGCATTTTTTTTACGAATAATTTGATACCACACACTTGGTATTTTGAGTCAAATTGTCGTTATGAACTGCAGGTTATAATTTAAAATAAACCATATGCGAAAATGTCAAAAATTTACATGATATGTCATTCTATTCAGAGTGTCATTTTCTATCGAATATAGTAAAAAAATACCAAGGGTGTTATTTAAAAATCAAAAGTTGTAGTCATTTCCGGTGAAACCGGAAGTGGCCGAAAACATTGAATACGTCAATCAATCCTAATTTATGTCATATACTAACATACCAAATCTCGTTTTTTTTATCTGAAAAAATAAAAAAGTTATAAGGGTGAGCCACCTTTGAGACGCACCCGGTATATAAAAGCATATTCATATATTTCTTCTCCCAGACACTTGTTAAGTCTTTATACAGGGTGAGCCGGTGTTCAGAAGAATCCCGATATCAGATTTTCTGTTTAATATTTCTACTCCGCCGCTTTCTTGCCAATCTTTTTTATAAAGTAGCCTTAGACCATAGTAGCCTTACTATGGTATACATTTTTTTAGTTATCGGTAATTGTAATTCAATATGAATTTTACTTACTCATATCGTCCTTCTTCATAGATGTATTCTGTCAAAATTGTTTCATTTTTCGCTGGGCAGAATTTATTATAACAGATTTTGTGAACTAAATTTAAGAACTAAGTAGAGTTAGCATCTCCTTTTTCATGCCAGGGTTAATCTTTTTTACTTTGTTTGCCCGGATTCCAAATCACAGTGCTGAACCGTATAATGGCCTGCCTATTCGAATGAGCAGTGTTTATGTACATAATATACACACTATACAGGGTGTCCCAAAAATAAGTGCAAATATTTTAACTGGTAGTATAGTTCAACCCCAGTAACACGCCTATGAGTTATTTTTCGCGAAATTTTTTTTGAAAATTCGGAATTTTTTGAAAATTTTTCTGAAATTTTTTTTAGTTTTTAGTTAAAAAACATAATTTCTTGATAATATGGCAACATAGGTAGTAGATTAAATTTACAAGAAAGAAAATCCAGAAAAGATCCAGGGGTTCTCAAATTTTTTTTGCAAAAAATCATTTTTTTTGGAAATTTTTAAAATAAAATAACTCGAAAAACGATAGAGAGAAAATATGTTTCTTTTATCGAGATCTACCACCCTTAAAATATTTGCACTTATTTCTGGAACACCCTGTATAATAGATTTTACACTCTTGCTATAGAACAACAGCACGAAAGTTTCCAGACGTTCATCCATCCATATTGTATTTACATCGTCCCATAGCTTCGGTGATTGATCGGGAGCCTATGTTACCCTTATGAATTAAGGAATTATACCGTGCTGGCAACTGTTACTTTTGGGTCGGTATTTACATGTGTGGAAGTAAATCGCATAGGGATCTTATTTAGTCGGAGTGAGAGAAATGCGACGGAGTGCTGTTGCGGCGTTGCCGGTACGCCTTTCCCTATCAAGTAAATAAAATCACGATCGCAAACCGCTTATTTTTAAGACTTTTTTTCGAAAAGATTACTAGATAAAATCATTAGAAATGTTTCTGAGCATCTGAAATGGAATTATAAGGATATCTTTAAGGTGTCATTTTTTTATAACGAGAAAACGTCAGTAATCACGATAATTTAAAAACTCAACTTTTTAACACATAACACGCCATAACTCAAGAAGCACTTTAGATATTGAAACTTTTTTTTATTTTGAAGATAGGATCTTTTACAATATGTTTATATAAGAAAAATTCGATAAGGTTGTTTTTTTCCATTCAAAAATTGTAAACAACCCATCTGTTTACTTTTAGAGCATAGCAATTTTCAGCAGTCGCGTAATTTTTTTATTGATAAAGATCATAAAGATCATCACTTACTGTCTACGAAGAAAATACAGCAGAAATATTAAGAAAGTTTTTGAAAAAACTAACCTAACCTAACCAACTCAATTCCACTTATTTTTACCGAAAATGCAAGTGTTTCTAGCTTGCACTTAAAAATTTTCAAACTATAGGGAAAATTACAACGACTCATTAATAAATAAACAAAGTATCACGAGTCGTAATTAAATCGTGAAGCTGAACGCATGATGTACACCTTTCCCTAGAACTTTAAGTACTGACAGAGGTACTGATTGGGTCGACCGGCCAACAGCGCTAAATCTGCTATATCCCCTTCCACGTCTCTTAGCAATGTGCACAGTTTCTCGATTCATTTCATACGTTTGGCAACGTGTTTACTGTTCTCTCTTTGTTCAGTACATTATAAACGCATTATACTCTTCTTACATACGGAAATCTCGACCCAAGACTAACCTTTGCCAGCCCTTAGTATTATGGTGTGAATTATGGAATACACATAATATGATATATCTAAGCTATTCAATAATGTGGACAGGAAAGAAAGATAAAGGAAACATGTAATTTTCCTTTATCTATTATTATTTCTCCCATCTCTTAATTGTTTTTAAACATATTATTTTGAGTGTAAATTTTAACCAGTTTATTTTCTTATAGGAATATTGCAACAAAGTGATCCTACTATGGGTAAAATTCCTCGTTCTCGAAGTCGAGTTTTAGGTCAATTATTAGAAAAAGTAAGGCCAACAATGCAAGACCGAGAAAGAAGCAAATCAGCTGGTCAGAACGAGAAGCCCTCTAGCCAGACTGGCGGTCAAAAGCCAACCAAAAAACCTTTCATGACTAGCAGTCAGCAAATAAGTACTGATAAGTATGTTACAATTGTTTATATTAGTAAATAAATTTACTTATAAATTAAACACAATTTTTATAGTGTTTCCAGATTAGAAGCACAAATTAAAGAAAAACTTCACGATATTATGTGCAGAAGACAGAGCCAGCCATCTTCCAAGTCTGACACTGAGATGGATAAAAAAATTAAACAAGAAGACAGAAAGTTTAGTAAGAGTGAAGTGGAAGGAATTAGTAAGTGTCCTTAAGAGTCTATTACGTTGTACTGTACGGGTCGCTCTCAGGTGTCGGGTAAAGCGAGTGTGTGGCCCAAAGAAATATATATTATATTTTAGAAATCTGCCTAAGGCTTAGCCCGATTCTGTCGTGTAAAGCCACATTCAAAATTCCAAACACACGTGCTTTGATTAAGGTTTGCAGAGCTTCAACATTTGCCATAAAATAGCGAGAAATTTGTTACAAAACCATACAAATTATATGTATATCACTGTAATCACTATGTCTTTATTTTGGAGAAAATTTAGTCCAAACATAAGGAATATTTTGTTAATGTTTGACCATCAAAATCTTAAAAATAAAGAAGTTGTCTAAAAATGTGCTACAATACGGATATAGTATAATCCTTTAACTTTAATTTCCTTCTTCATTTGTGTAAAATTACTTAGCCAGTTTTACATAAAACGTTAAATGCCGAACGCTTATTTTGCTACTTTTTCGGACTAGTGAAATGGACTCTTAACTCTTAATATAAGAGGCGCTCATATTCAATTTCGAGTCGGAGTACAATATATCCTTATTGACCATTTCATTGCATGAAATAAGCAAAAGTGCTTCATTTGTCCGCTGGAGGGCATCAAGTTTTAAAAAATAAACACATTTGAATGAGATTTTGGGTGACTATGTTTTGTTAAGTGCCTTAACATTTGACTTTCACAAAAATCAAGAAAAAATACGGGAAGGGTGAAAACTACCCCCACTTCTACTGAGCTTATTGTCAAATATAATTTGTGATACATAAGCTTCATTCAGAACCTCGAAATCAGTGGAATAAATTAGTAGTTTCAATTAGTCGTAGAAGTTTGTTCACCTAATTTTAATGTAAGCATTCAGAACGTCATAATTTTGGTAGTAATTTTCAGTTAGAAAAAGTTAATAAACTTTTGACTTTTCCACTAATTATACTTCAATTTGCGAGGAATGTCATTTTGGCCTTTGATTATCACCCGTCAAGAAAAATTTTGGTTAGAAATCAAAAGTTTATTGTTTTATAAGCTAAATATTATGCTCTCTCTATGGATACAACAGACTACCGCAAGCTGTTGCTAGGATATTTTATTAATTTTAATTGTTTTTTTAGACATTGTGAATGATCGTAAACTAAAAAGTATAAAGTGTAATTGAAACCACTAGTTTATTCCACTAATTGGGAGGTTCTGAATGAAGCTTAACATAAGATTCCATATTTTCGCCAACTAGATTATTACAGCATAATAGATTTTATGTGCCTCCATAGCTTGATGTTACAAAAACAATATTTGGAAATCAGCTTTGGAATTTTTTTTTCCTCAAAAAGTAGGCGCGGTAGCGTTTTTTACAAGAGACAAAAAATGTAGTAAATATTAGAAGGATCATTTTACGAAAAATGAATCGGTCGTCGGTTGAGACTACGGTTGAGAGAATATTTATACTAAAATTTATGTAGAAGTGGGAGTAGCTTTCACCCTTCCCGCACTTTTTCTTGATTTTTGTGAAAGTCCAATGTTAAAGCGCTTAGCAAAACATAGACCCCCAAAACTTCATTCAAATCGGAATAACGGTTCTTAAAATATCTGAAAAAAAGTTATTAATTTTTTAAAGTTTGATTCCCTCTAACGGACAAACGAAGCATTTTTGTATAGGGGTAAATTGTGTCAAATGAACTTTTTTATTATTAACTACGTATTTTTGGAATCACCCTGTATATGTGCGCAGCTTCATAAGAATATTATATTGGTTTCAACTCTGCAACTTAATAATCAGCCGACTCAAAATGCATGTCGGTATCTAGGTTTGGTCTTGACATCTTAGATAATGTTGTGAAATATACAGGGCGACTCACGGTGAATGGTAGGTTAACCGTTTGTAGAGAATAAGAGAGAAATTATAAGAAATGAAAGTAGTTTCCAAAAATGTAATAATACACCATAGTTCCACATTTAAAATAAAGAAGATACTAAAATTATTTTTAGAATGGAGTGGCAACACTGTAACGCTGAAAATAATTTGAATCGCTGGAGCAGGTGTGTTTCTCCATAAACGTCTAAACTAACATTGCCGTAAATAATCCTGTATAAAAAATTAGAGAAACATTTTAAAAGATAGTCGAATTGATTTTTAAATAAGAATTTATTTTTATAATTGAAGCATTTTTAGCAAAATTATCGATGAAACAAAGAATATTGTACAAGAAAATAGGTAAAAGTTGCGATAAAATCAACGCTTCAGCTATGAAATTAACCGATCCAGAAAAAAAGTGTAAATCCGTGGAATCTGAGTATCAGAGGATTTCTGAAGCGACATCCCAGAAATCTTTGATGCACGGAGTTAGCCGATCTAGTCCTACCAGCCCAAAATGTAAAAATAAATCAAAAATGCAAAGTAAAGCCAAGAAGAAGGTAATAATTTATTTATTATTTTATACAGGGTGTGCAGAAAGTTCACTTTAAAAGGACTTTTTTATTATGCGGTTGGGAAAATAAAACACTAATTCGCTACAATATACGTTCCTTTTAACACTCAACTCGCGTTTCGCTAACCATGTTAGGTTTATCAGCTGATGATCACCGTCATCTGCTGATGATGCTATCATCGTTAGCGAAATCCGCGTCCAGTGTTAAAACTGAAGTGTTTTGGTGTATTGTGGTGAATTAGTGTTTTATTTTGCTGTTGCAACATCTATGAAGATAAATGTGAAACAAGTTTAGATTGGAAAGTACCCATAAGGACAATGTAAACACTATTTGGCGCTATTCTTGCAACGGTCGCGACCCAAAGCTTTTGAAAATTTCGGAGCGGTTCGGCTTTTTCCGGATTTATATCACCAAATACTATTTATTCAAATTTATTATTATTTTCTTTTAATTTTATAAATAAAATACAGTGTGTTGCATACAAGAAACTTTAGTTTATATAAGGACATGTATGAAATACCTATGAAACATTAGAAACCGACATTATGCCACGATCCACGATGGTTTTTGCAGTTCACAGCACAGCTTTTTAAGTTTATAATGTCATTTTTTCACAATTATCACGGGTTTGAGTAATTAAATTTAAATTAAACTCACAAGAAAGCAATAATTACTTTGAAAATGGACGCTTTAAAAACTTTTCGGAATTTTTTCAATGAGAGCGGTTTGGATTTTGAAAGATTTTATAATTTTTGAAGATTCTGACTTTGACAAGAGATATGGACAAGAGAAAACTATTTTTGTTTTTGTTTGCGGTTGCTCTTAGCAACCGCTATAGCAGCGCCAGATCGCCGTACAACGGTCGCGACCCAAAACAATTTCGCGACCGAAAATTTTGACGGGCATTCCAATCTTAATTTATTTCCTTTATTTATGTATTGAGTTACTGAAAAAAAGTTTTTGACATTTATCATGTGAGAACTGTCACGGCAGTTTCATAAGTATATAGCGCCTTTCATAAAATATTTATTTTTATATTTTCCAGTGATTTTCAAAAAATCATATTTTCTTCATTAAAATTACAAAAAATAAAGTAAATCTAACAAGAATAATGCCCCATAAATATTTGTTTCGTTACTGATTTGTACATAATCACAAAACAGTTTTTTAAGTTACGAAACTTGTTGCAATGGCATATAGAAGCCAAATTTTTTTTTACAAATACCTCAATTATACAAAATATCCATTTTTGCGAACTTTTTAGCAAACTCTGTTAATCAAAAAGTCATTGCTGTAAATTCAACTTGATAATAAATATTACATATTATAAATAACATTAATAAAGTGTATATCTAAAAATGTATTAGGCTAATATTTTAGGTGTATCCTTATAGTGATGGAGAAGATAATGTTTTTTATTCTCTCAACGATTCTGCGGATTCTCTTTCTACGTCATCTCGACGTTCCAGTCTGGATGCGGCAACCTCCGGACCTGGTCCTGATAAAACATTAGTTGTTGTAATTAACAGGTTTGTAACAAATCCCAATCATTTCAAACATAAACTACTTTTCATAGCGTATACAAAAATATATCTGCGATATTGTGTTAGTAATCCTCTAGGGATGTTGGGTACTCGCAGTATATCTGAGATATATTTTATTGGAAAATTGTATGTCTCCGGATTGTCTTTACAAGAGAAAACAATTTTTTATTATTGATATTGTAAGAAAATGCATTCTTCATAAGCCGGTGATTATAGCCGCCAGCAAAAAAGAGTTGCAAGAAGTCATGACTGCACTGTGCTCTATTAGTGCAGAATATGGCTTGGAATTAAACAAACGGAAAACCAAGATGATGATTGTCGACCGCCTACGCAATAACCAACCTGATGTTCGAACCGTGGCTGGATACGAGGTTGTGAGCAAGTTCAACTATTTAGGTCCCATGATACCAAACTCGGAGGATGCGAGGCTGAAATCAGGCGCAGAGTGACAATGGCGAGGAATGCAACAACAAAGCTGACTAAGATATGGAAGACTTCAACAATCACACGAAGAACTAAACTGCGCATTGCGAACTCCTTCATATTCCCCATAGCTATGTATGGCTCCGAAACATGGATACTCAAGGAAAGTGATAAGCAAAGAATAAATGCCTTGGAGATGTCGGTATATCGACGGCTGCTGCGAATACCATGGACGGCTTATCGAAGAAACATTTCCATTATAGAGGAACTAAAAATTGAGACACGTCTGGTTGCCAGATTAAATCAGTCAATCCTCCGATATTTTGGCCATATTGCCAGGAGTGACACCTCAATTGAGAGACTGATGGTAGAGGGGAAGGTAGAGGGAAGACGATCACGTGGAAGGTCACCTAAGAGGTGGGTAGACCAAGTCAAAACCCTAGTGGGCCACAACCTCCCCGAAGCGTCATAGATAACGCAGTGTCGAACAATTTGGTCCGAGGAAGTGAGGGGAATCAACACATGATGTCACCATACTCTCACGTAGAGTGAAGGACTGAAGAGAGATTCTTCATAAAAAATTTGCTTGTTCTAAAATGGTTAATGCCGTTTATACCTTCCCATATTTCCATACCGTTTTAGAGCAAATTAAATAAAACACAAAAATGTGGTTGAATTTCCAAAAAGAAGTCCTAAAAGTCAAAAGGCGTCTGTGGTAATATAATTGAAGGGTCCAGGAGAAAAACCTGATAAGCAGCAATCTCTTAATTTTAGGATTTTACAACATTATAGTAGGTCTAACTTGTCCCTACAAAATGTATAAACTCTGCAGGGCAATAAGTTGTTAATCTTATCTGTACCTGTATAATGTAAAATTTTAATTAACGTCATGTTTTATTCTGTTTTAAAATGTTAAAGAAGCTCAAATGTATTTAATTCAATGTTACGGAAAGGGTCATTATAGTTATCGGAAAATGTGATACTTTAACAAGAGCAAAAAATATGACGTTAATCAACATTAATAATAGCCATCTACCAAAGAATGACATCGAAGTGATATTACCATAGAAACTCCTTTTGATTTCTAGGACTTCATAGGTCTAGGAAAAACATCAACCATATTATTTTTTTTTTAATTTTCAAACGGTTTGGAAATTTGGAATGGTATAAATGGGATTTACTGCTTTAGAACATGCAAATTTTTTTATGAAGAATGCATCTTTATCAAAAGGTCGGTAATAAAAAGTTTTTCCTCTTGTACAACCGGGGACGTACTGTATATTTTTATTATTTAGCGTTCGTTAAAAATATTTTTTAGGCGTAACAAGGGAGGAGCTCCTCAGAATCTTGCTCAGAAACAAAGAAGTTGGGAAACTTTTCCACCTAAACACCGACGACACCACGTTTGTCAGGCCAAACTAAGTGCTCCTACTCATCCTGTAGGTTTGAGAAAGACGGATAGTTTTGAAGGTACTAATATTTATAATTTTTAAACTATTATATAAAATCCAATACAAACCTTAGCAATATTGCATAATTGTGAACAATACTATACAAAGCGGTAAAGTTAGTTTTCCAATCTGACGTTTCGGATTCGAGAGAGCATCATCACTATTCTGGTATGTATTTTTATTAATTTCTACATAATATAAAAATCATAGATTAGAAAATCATTTTTTGAAAAAACCGGCATTTGGTGTAGTTCCAAAATAACCCCATCTAATGCCTACTAATAAAGTCGCCTGTAATATAAAATAAAAATGAAAAGATATACAGGGTGGTCCGAACTGTATTCCGGATACTTCGGCATTGTATTCTGCAGATTAAAATAAATAAAAAAGTTCGTATAAATGTATGTCCTAAAATGCTTACTTTCAGAGATACAGTGTGTAGAAGTTTCATTTTTATATCGATTTTTCTAAATAATTTCTGAAGTAACGTAAATATTTGAATGAAAATTGGTGTCTGGGAGTTTTTTGACATGAGAAATTTGATTTTGGTGTCAATATGACTCCTACTAGTAGAGAGCGCCACCTACATGTGTTTTAACTGTTTTGAAGCGTAATAACTTTTTGTCTGTACCTAAAACTTCTGAGTGAAAAAATATACATTTCTGGGACTTTTTACGTAAAAAAATATCTCTTTGTAAAAATCGCTACGAGCAACCGTTCTTAAGATATTTAGAATGGAAATAGACAATACATATCATTATTGACGAAAAATAAACACATTGACTAGGTAGTTATTTCACTGAAATAATAAATTTGGGAATTTTTTTTTTTTAAATTAATCATAATTTTTTCTGAAAAAATGATGATAAAACAGTTTCTATTGAACTTTTGACACAAAAACATTTCAAATTTATGATTTCAGTCTAATAACTGTTTAGTCGATATGTTTAATTTATGTCACTGATGACAGGTATTGATAATTTCGATTCCAAATATCTCGAAAACCATTACTCGTAGCGATTTTTACCAAGAGACCTTTTTCACGTAAAAAAGGTCGTAAATGTATATTTTTTTACTCTGTAGTTTTATACAGGTACGGACGAAAAGTTATTAGTCTTCAAACCAGTTAAAAAATATGTAAGTGGCGCCCTCTACAAGTAGGAGTCATATTGACATTAAAATCAAATTTCTCATGTCAAAAAACTCCCAGACACCAATTTTCATCGAAATATTGACGTTACTTCAGAAATGATTTGGAAAAAATCGAAATAAAAATGAAAATTCTACACCCCGTATCTCCGAAACTAAGCATTTTAGGACATACATTTAAACGAACTTTTTTACTTGTTTTTATCTGCAGAATGTGCTGCCGAAGTTTCCGGAATACAGTTCGGACCACCCTGTATATAAAGATATCAACATTTGAAAGTGTGTAAAAGAATTTGACCTTTACACACAGTTTTATTTTTGAAAATAGGTAAGAACGGTTTGAAATAAAAGAGTAATCAGTTGAAGAATACAGCGCTTATATTTTCAACATACCTCAAATATGGAAATATAAGAAAAACATTTCATTTTTACTTACTAGCAATCAACTATCCAAGTTGAAATTCATTTTCAGTAATTTCTCTTGTTTTGACTAATTTTCTTATATTTTTTAATAACTTATTAATGTATTGTACGCTATCTAGATTATCTTTAGTGCCATAGTCTAATAATCATCTACATATTCTTCTGAAGTCAATTACAATAGATTGGGACTCTAATTTCGGCACTTTATCGGCATCACCTGAACAAAGGAAAGTAAGAGTCCCAGTACTTCCAATTGACTTCGGAAATACTATACTAGTGTGTTTCCTACCAATATTATGTAATTTCCTACTATGTATACATGAAATGGCGTTAGCAGGATTAAACCAAGAAATAAAAAACTCTTTTTAAAAAAAATTGCCGATTTTATTCTCGTCTATATCACGGCTGTTTTCGGCTAAAAGGTTTTTTTTGTCACGCCTAAACCAAAGTAGTGGCTTATCCTGGCAGTATGAGTACAATTTCAAAAACGATACACATAACCAGTCTGTCTATACAGACTAGACATTAAACACTACACAAAAATTAAAAATATTGTCGCGACCTAGCTGGGTGTTGTTCGCTAGGATCGCTATACCAGGTTCTTTCTTTTAATCAAAACAACCATTAGAAAAATATGCACACTTATTAAATATACAACTACATACATAACAAATAAGTGTAGATTTTAGGAAATGCCAAGACTTAAGGGTTCAATACTCAAAGAGGTACTTACAACAGCATCTTGTCTGACTGGCTAACTTCTGTCTTCTACTGGTTCACTCGCAACCAACCGACTGACTAACCCTCGACTAACTGACTCACCAACTAACTCATAATGCGACTGATCCCGAACTCTCTCTTCAGCATACTCTTTTATATTTTCTATTCCTCGTGGCCATCGCCGGTTACGTCGTTCAATATGTTTTCATCTAATTACATTCACCCGGCTATGACCATGAGGAAATCGAACTTCGATAACCTGCGTTTGATTTTCAACCCGAAATTGTTGTATTTTAATTGTTTAATTTTTAATGTTATTTAAAAACATATCTGGGTCGATGTCATGCAGGTAACCGATCTCTTGGGCCTATATCAAATTGGTTTACTAGAATTATATTATATTTACTAGAATTATATTATTTGTGCTTTTTTCCCAATTTGATCTAAACCCATGGTACAAAGAAAACAAGGTATGATCGATAGCGGCCCCAATTTCGTTAAGTTTGCGCATACCACCTGTGACGTCATACGCCAGACAAAAAATATCCATATTGTTCAATTGCCATTAATAAAAAAAAGACCTAAAATAGGGAAGAATTAGGACATAACCCCAAAAGTTATGTCAAATCATGGAGCTTGACATTTGAAAAATTATTTTCACATTTTTATGTCATCTGTTTGACAATTTCAAATTGGCGCGCGGAGCTTGCCGACCTATGGTGCCGTTTATCACCTGTGACGTAATGACCAACCTGCGCAATATCATACCTTGTATTCTTTGTATCATGACCTAAACCCAAGTTGGCATCTATTTAAGTCTTGACAATATATTATAGGCTCAGTGCATTTCAGTTGATTTCAAAAAATCCCGACCGCAAAATTCAAACTCTCCCGAAACAACATTTTATAGCTTCATAGTTTTTCACACCGATTTGATCAAAAGCAAAAATGGATTCAAGCTGTTCGACGAAATAAGTGAGTAAACAAAGTGCTCTATTTACATAATCAAAAAAATTAAATTGATATATACTATGGAAGAATAAACAGCCGCTACACTATCTCCGAAATGTTTTACGAAATATTTCTGGAAATATTTCGTGAAACGTTTCGCAAAACATTTCTGAAAATAGTACAAAAACACCGTATGATCGAAAAAAAACGGCGTCCAGTTGGCTGGGAATTGACGATCGATGACATTTCCCATATAAATTTACATGTAACATGACAGCGGTCTTCATTTCATAGCCATCGCTGACGCCGTTTTTTTTTCGATCATACGGTATAAGCCCGTGTTATAAAAATTAGTAAGGTTAGGTTAGTTCACCGTTTAACTTAATATAAACGTTGAGACCGAGACTTTGAGTCTTTTATACTTCTTTTTAATTTAAACCAGGTCTCTTTGAGAAGTATGGACGCCTTCTTTAAATTTCCTATACAGATTCCCTTATTATAGAAAAACTCGATATTTAAAATAGCCGGATCTAGATAAAGGGAACACAGATAACTTTCTTAGTACTAAGTCTGCTAACGCCATTTCATATATAACATAGGGGCGCAAATCTACCACATTGTTGTATACTTTTTTCTTAATTTCAGGGCATGAGGAAGCAGTAAAAAGTCTTGTCGCGGCCGTACAAGAAACTCGTAGAAAACCTAAAGGAGGTAATTAACAACAGCCTTCTTCTGAGCAGTGCTTAATATTAATATATGCGGTTATTGACTGATTAAGTATTAATAGACATATAACAAATGCTAGAGCTAGCCAAACAATACCACGTCAGATTTTATTTACAGTGCTTTTTTCTGGTAAACCTTCTTTTCTTATAATTCTTAATAGAAAGTCCGACAATTTCGCATAGAAGAAATGTGTCAACCGACTTTTACACGTCCAAATCATGGCTTTAGGATGGCATGTTCCAGCGTATATATTTATTGACGATATTCTCATGAGAGTCAGTGTTAATGAACTTGGTCGCAAAGACAATGTTTTCTGCAATTTAGAATGATAGCAATCTGTTAATGATTAAACAGTGCTAAATACTTTCATAATTGCTTCGTCTGTCAGCACTTGTATTATTAATCATTAAGTTCAGTGTGGCGATAACGCACATTAGATTTTCATTTTCACAACAGGAATTGAATCAATTTAAATAACCTGTGCTCAAATAACAAGCGATAAAATGCATTAAATATGGTTAATGTCTTTTTTTTATAACTTGTAGGGACATTGTTGTTTTAAGAGTGTACCATTTATATTAAATAAAGTCTATCCAACGAGTTAGAGAAGATTTGGACAGTTGATATTAAAAAAAATGACAGAAAATACAATTAAAAAATTACAAACAGCCGCTGAGATGGGTCCTCTCGTTGGACAGCTATGGTTATTGTGAATTAATTACCTTAACCTTAGATTTAAGGCAGTTATAATTACAATTTAATTTATGTGTCAATTTTCCGTAACATGTGCTTTATGAATTGGTAATATGGTAGGATTTTTTGTATACTCATATAAGCATATACCAATTTTTGGGAAGCTCTGATTTTTTACTTCTACTCTTTTACTCTCCTTATAATATTTTAAAAAAATATTTGGACGTATATAAAATATTTTCTAATTGACGACTAACATTGAAAATAATAAATTTCTTAAAACTGGGTCGCTAACTAAACTATTTGATATCAATTAAACTTTTAGTTACGTAATCGAGGGCGAAATTTGTAAATTCATTGTTACCAACCATGGATATTTGGAACCGTGCTGACTAACTGGAATTTAAATTTCCCGCTGGGGCCATATTTATTTATTTCCTGACATTTGTTATGACACTTTAGTTTTGTATTACGCGTGTATGGTTTAAATTGGTTATTGTGTTGTGATATTTTAAGCTTAAAAATGTTTACTAGCAGACCTCCCTCCTTTCCCGAATCCTGGATCCGCCCCTTGTCCATCAATTTTAGGGGGGTCCGAAGGGGGGGGGTCTGAATACATTGTCAAATATTGTCTGTGCCATACACATTTACAAAAGTATTACATTTACAAAAGCCACCACCTTATAAGACTAATTTCTGAATTCGATTATATCTAAAACTTTACTTTTGCTTTAAAAACACAAATTATTAAATATCGTTATTGAATTAGGGAGTTCAAAACTGGTATATATAAAGGGGGAATATTTATTTCTCTAGATATTTTTATTTGTAATGTTTATTACACGTTAATGTAGTACCTACTTTAAAATTCTTAATATTATTTATGGTACTTTAACATTACGAGTTTGTAATGATTATAACATTATACAGGGTGTTTGTTAACTACGCTTGAAAGTAATACTTCATGCATGCCTATTTAGCCAAACCTGCCATAAAATTGCTATCAAAATATGCCAATATTCTGCAAAATGGCAACCGTAGATTATTTTACATATTTATCGTCAAGTAAAGCTTTTTTGATTTTTTGAAAAGGTTGTGATATAGATTGTAATTTAGATAAATTACAGAACAGCTTACTGCCACAAAGATTTAAAAAAAAACATTATTTGAATATGTTTGTTTAGATTTTTATTTATTTTTGTGGCAATTTGAATCTCAATCTAAGTAAGTTGAAATTTAAATAATCAAAAGCATATTAATATTTAACAAGAAATAAATGATGGTCACCTGTCGCTGACATTCATAATATCCAAGAATTTCGCAGTAAAAATAAAGCTGGCGCAAAATAGAATTTTATGGCTTGTGGGGTTATATTTATGAAGATTATATTATATTTTACTGCCGAAAGTACAATATAATCTGTAGAATTTTTTTAAACTTAATGCCGTTTTATATTTAAGAAATGCGGTTGTCATTATCTCAAATTATATCCATAAGGATGATTGTACTATGGTTCTCTAGTGTTAAATTCGAGTAGATAAAGTTAAGTTATTAATGTTATTTATATTCACTTATTATAATATAGAACTATAGCACTGTTATTGTTACCAACTATATTTTAACGGATAGATATTTGTATTGATGTTAAATAAACGTAAAAAGCTAAGAGTATCTTTGTATCGCGTTAATTACAGAGACTAGATGTTCAGTGAGTGTTTCTTTCATTCATAAGTAAAAGGGAAAGCCAGTTTGCTTTTATTTTTGTTACTATTATCAGTTATAGTAATTTTTCTGTGATACTTTAAAGTTTTATTTGATTCTCTTCAATAGTATGGCTTTTTTACGAGTTGCCACCTAATGCTTTTTCGTGGTTTTATGAAAGAAGATATTTATTAGCATAATCAGAAGCAACTTTTTAATAGTTAAGTTGAAGATTAAAGTCGCTAAAATACCACAAATATATTTGTTCGATCGTAGGATCTATTGTAAAAGAAATAATTTGTTAACTCTATTGTATTGTTCAGATTTTTATTGGGTATGTAAGTGGCTAAGGAGTTACGAGGAGATACTATCCAACCTTTAAGTTGAATTTTTATTTTAGATTGTTTATAAATCGGTACTATAAAAGTTATTGTTTAGTCATAAGAACACCTGTTATATTTCATGTTAAATGTTCATATACAACAGGAAAAAAATAAAATATTAAATAAATATGAATCTATAATTATTAGCAGTTGAAACCCTTTGGATTCGATTGCGTCACTCCACTCTCAGGTATATTTTCGGGTGTCGCGAAGATACGATATGTTTGTGTCGTGATTTCCGTATGTAAGAAGAGTATAATGCATTTATAACGTACTGAACAATGAGAGAACAGTAAAAACGTTGCCAAACGTATGAAATATACCGAGTAACTGTGCACATTACTAAGAGACGCGGAAGGGGATACTACATACATACATACTGCCATTACTCGCTGATGAGTATTTGACACGCATCAGAAGATGGTCACGCAAGGCGTTTTCTTTCATGAGCTTTTCTGTGACTGAAAAACCCAATACGTGATGTTATTTGTCTAGTAATGTCTGGTAACTGAGTTTACAATTCTTCTCCATTGAATTGTATTGTGAGCTGCTACTTCCCACTCATTCTGCACGTTAATCCCCCTTAAATTTTCGTGGAAAATGTCCTTGTACCTTTTGAGTTGTCCACCTGGCCTCCTCTTACCGTCTACAAGCTCACCGTAAAGCAGTGATTTTGGTATGCGGTTTTCTTGCATTCTGCATACGTGACCAGCCCATCTTAATCGGGATTTTGTAACCATGACTTCAATACTCTCGCAGTTAGCTTTTTCAAGAACCGATACGTTTGAGACATGATGGAACCATTTGATTCTTAAGAGTTGTCTAAGATGTTTTTGTTGCAACTTGTTTAATGCGTTCATGTGTCGGCGGTACGGTACCCAGGTTTTTTTTTCTCCCATATAACATGATGGGGATTATTATTGCTCGGTACACTGCAAGTTTAGTTTTTGTGCTCAGGTCATGGTTGTAGAAAACCCTGTCTTTTAATTTCCAGAATGCTCTTGAGGAGCTGCTAATCCTGTGCTGAATTTCAGAGTCGATATTGGCCTTTTCCGAAATAAAACTGCCGAGATAATTGAATTCCGCTACATATTCCAGTAGTTCTCCGATTTTTATAGCATTGTTGTGATCTTCCGGGGGGAGTGCACATGATTTTAATTTTGTCGATGTTTAGCTTAAGGCCCAAAGCCTCGTATGCCCAGGTATATGTGTTCAACATTTCTTGTAATTGCTGTACAGTTTTTGCAACTAGAGCGCAGTCATCAGCGTATTGAAGTTCTGTGATGAATTTTGTACGTGTTTTTGCCTTGAAGTCTTTTTATGTTGAACAGACCGCCGTCGTATCTGTATCTAATGCCCAATCCTCTCTCCTGCAGTTTGCTGTCCACTATAATGGAGAGCGCTGCCATGAATATGTTGAACAGGAGAGGCGCTTGCAAGAATTTTTCCTCCGATAGCCAAGAGTGAAATTCCCCGGTAGTTTCCGCAGTGTGATGCACTTCCTTTGTTCTTAAATATATTCACTATATTTGCGTTGCAAAAGTCCTGAGGTACATTTCCGCTTTCCCATATGACATCGATGACAGCCTTAAGATGACCAATAAGTTCTTTACTTGCACACTTATAGATTTCCTCCGGAATCGCGTCACAGCCAGCTGATTTGTTCTAATTTGTTGTTTTTAAGCTGTTTTATGGAGGCCTGTATTTCCTGTTCTGTTATTGGGATATCTAATACATCGAGGCTGTTATACTGACGTATTGTGTTTAGTGCTTCCACATTGGGGTTATTTTCTTGGTTAAGGATATGGCTGTTATGCTCTTTCCAGCGGTTTCTGATTTGCTCTTCCTCTTTTAGAAGTTCGCCATTTTGTGCCATGATTGGGCAGCTTGCCTTCTTGGTTGGGCCGTATACTTCTTTTACAGCCTCGAAGAATTTACGGTAATCGTGATGCGTGGCGTACTCTTGAATCTGATTAGCTTTTTATGACCACCAGTTATCCTTTAGTTGGCGTAGTTTTCTCCGAAGCGTGTTGTTGGCTGCTTTAAAGTTGTTGCTGGGTTCTGTCCAGCCTTGGGTTGTGTGGATTTGCAGTGACTGCTTGATGTGCTCTATGCTTTTGTTCCTACAAAGCCTGTATATGAGGTGATTTTCGTTAAACCAGTCTGGTTGTTTCTTTTTGTCGGACTTTCCCAGTACAGCTTCGCTGGTTTTATGAATCGCATCCCTTAATTGTGTCCAGCCTTGTTCAGCTTCCAAGATTGAGATTGAAGTTATCGGTGGAAGTGATTCTTTGATGGCTTCCCGGAGGGCGTCGGCGGTATCGTTGTTTTCTAGACCCCATACGTTCAATCTGGTCATGTTGTTTTGTTTTTTACAGTGCGGATGTTTGGGTTTTAACTACCCTCATCCGCAAAGCGGGTTTCGCTAAGAGCGGCAACATCTATATTTAGCCGGTGGAGTTCCTGTGAGACCAGTGCTGTTCTTCTCTCTGGTCGATTTGAAATTATCTTGTCCAATAAAGTGCGGACGTTCCACGACGCAAACGTAAAACATTGATGTTTTTTGTTTCTCCGATGATACGCTCGAGTAGGCACCCCCTCCCGGAGATCCGATTGAGGGGGTATTTTACCTCTGGATGATGATTTTGTCCCACTCGAATGTTCCATCATTGATGTGTGTAAGCTGCGTGAAAAGGTTTAACTGTGACGGTTACGCTGCCGCACAGTTTTGGCTGCAACTGTAGCACGGGATGGCTATGGCACAGTGAGGACCGCGACGATAGTTCCCTTGTGCTACGTTCTCGGCCGGCTAGGAGCAGTTCACTACTCCTCTTCCCCAGAAAGATGGTAGGTCTGAGGCTTGTATATATGTATATAGGTTATAGCGTCTATACTCGGACGTCAGAGCCTCGTTTGTGTAAACAGGGTGCACCACGTGAAGGTGAGGTTGACTTTTGAGTAAGCTAGGTTATATGTATCGCTTCAATACCCCTTGCACCCCGAAGGGGATAAGGCAGTTTCGTCGCGGTCGGCCGCATAAATTGATAAATTTTATAAGATTGAAATTGAAATCCAGTACTAGATTTCTAGGGAAGGGTCTATATTATGCGTTCGTGTTCACGATTTAATTACATCTCGTTTACTTTATTTATTTCTTTATTATAGAATCATTGTAATTTTTTCTTATAGCGTAAATTTTTAAAAACAAGTTGGTAATTAAATAACTGTAAAATGCTCAAACGTTTACCACTTTTGGTAAAAATTAGTTGAACCGGGTTAGCGCTAGACAGTGGTCGCGCTATTTGAACTCTGAATTCAAAAAACAATATCTTGAAATCCATTAGAAATATTTGACTTTAGCAAAATAAAATTACACTAAATCACCACAATACACCAAAACACTTTTACTTTTACACTGGACGCGCGTTTCGCTAACCATGTTAGCATCATCAGCAGATGATTATAAACTAGAGTTTATGTTAGCATCATCAGCAGATGATTATAAACTAGAGTATAAACTCACATAAGTACATAAGTTAGCATCATCAGCAGATGATTATAAACTAGAGTTTATAATCATCTGCTGATTATGATAACATGGTTAGCGAAACGCGCGTCCAGTGTAAAAGTAAAAGTGTTTTGGTGTATTGTGGTGATTTAGTGTAATTTTATTTTGCTGTGTAACACCAAAAGTTCCAACCCTCAACTGTAATTATTTGATTTTAGTTTAAAAATAAACGTTCTTAACGTTTCTGCTATATTTTTTTCGCAGACAGTAGGTGAAAATCTTTACAAATAAAAAGGTTACACGATTGCTGAAAATTGCTATGCATTAAAAGAAAATGGACGCGTTTTTTACACATCTTGAACAGAAAAAAAGCAAACCTGTCGAATTTTTCTCATTTAAACAGCTTGTCAAATATACGAACATATGAACTTATAAATATGATATAAAATAAAAAATAAGAAAGTTTCAATATCTAAAGTAGTTTTTGAGATATCGCGTTATGTGTTTTTTTATTAATTAAAACTGCTCATATTTAATATACATTTATTCAATACATAATTATTGTGATTTACATCTAAAAAGACATGGTTATTTGATTCTGATTCCTTACACTTTAACACACAAAAAAGCTTTTCCTTTTGTTTACATTACACAAATTAAAATTATACAGTTTTTGTCAAAGTCTTCCTTCAACTGATAATACTAGGTTGACCGGCAGAATTTGACACTTACTGCCCCTTATTTAAATGGAATGTTCTAACTTTATCATGTATTACGTATTTCGATAAAAAATAGTTTACCTTTTGTGTTCTTGATATATTTGAGTGGAATCAAAACAAAGCAAGTTTTGTTTTACTTTTACTGCTTCTACATAAATTTACATATTTTAAAATATAACATTTTAAGTCATGTTGCGCAACGCGCCAACTTTAAGTTAAATTTTCTTTTAAGTAACAACAATACCGTGACTAACAATCCAAACTACTTTCTACAATTTCTTATGTACAGGAAATAAATCAAATTCATAAATGTCTAATTCCAACGTCGAAAACTTGCTCGGTTTTAATAAAGTACCAGCATCAAACTAATTTTTAAATTATTTCTGTTAAATCACAGCAATCTACTTCTAACATCACTTTAACATAAATACAGGGAGAAATGATTTAAATAATGATATAATATTGCAGAATAATTAATAATTGGACATTTTCATTTTTCTAATACAAATATTGCGCTAAATTTGGGTTATTGATTTTTTTAGATATTCCAAAATAAAACTAAGTATATTATTTTATTGTTAAGTATATTTACTTGATCTTTTTTAAGTACCTATATAATGTTTTGTTACGATACAATAAAAAATAACTCTAGACCTGCAGAATGTATTTACACCATTTTGACATATATTTAAAAATAAAAAAAAAGATAATTGTGCGAGTAAAAAAGGCAGACACATTGACACTACTCAGAGGTAACTTTGTGTTTTAGGCTTAATTTCTTGAAGATATAGCGATAAACAGTCACACTCATACACTCGCATGAAGCTGAAAGATGTTTTACAGGTTATTAATATGTCTATATCTTAAAGATAATTAAACAGTAAAACTTGAAAAGTTACAAATTCCGACAAGGTGAAACAGTGACAACCTAGCATAAAGGCTCTTAGGTTAGAATATATATACTTATGTTTCCTAAGTTAATTTTATGAAACATATCCTCCTTGTAACATATAGCAAAGACATCTTGCCAAAGCTAAATTTAAGGTTATGTTTCTTTTCTAAGTAGACAGAAGTGCAAATCTTTACAAAAGTTAGAAATACAAAATAAAACAGCCGGAAGTGATTGCACACATGTAAAAAATTGATATGATCGATAGATTATTGTGACGTTAAAACAGTGATAAGGAACAACGGCTGTTAATTTACTTATAACTACTTAAGTACAAAAAGAAACACAAAAATGGTAATACTTATCTTGATAAAATATATCATATATATGTAAATAATTTGTCAATTGAAAGTCAAGCAAAAACAAACTGTTAATTTTAAAAAAACACACTTTAAAACTTATCAAATTTTAAAACGAATTTTTAGTTTTAATTTATTCGAAGTAATATCTGTCAAACTGAGGTACAAAGCCAGACATGACAGACATAATTATTAACTATTTAAATTTAAGCTGCAAGATTTACATTATTATTAATAGAGGTTAAAAAAATATCGCTTTTGAGAGACAATAAAAGAAAGCCTTGTAACGCTTTGATTTAACAACCAAAACCTTGACTACCCTAGACAAATAATAATGTAAAGGGAGTACATTATACAACATACTATAACTTCTAACAGTAATTTCATGGACGATTATTGTTGATATCAATTAATAATTGCATCTACTAAATACACTGCTAAATCTTTTACAAGATGGACAAGAAGAACATAAGACAGTTTTTCGTCTTTTATTAATAATTTTGTAATTTTTAACAGTGTAGTAAACGCAAAAATTTGTTTAGTGCCTTACCATTTGCTCTTATGGCACAAAATAGTTGAATGGATTTGTTATTAAACAGCACTGATTCATTAAAAATACCTTCTTGTTTGGTAAGAAATTACAAAATAAAAAGGATGAAAAAGGGTAGACTGAAATAATAAATTGGGTTATGAGAGACAAGTAAAGTAGGTATACAATTAATTGCATATAACTGTTTGAATGTCTACAATGGAACACGGGGGTCAAATGTTTTATTTTAGTTTGTATTTCTCATCCTTTTTATCCAACTTACCGCACCCTTAGAACAATTTACATCGTGCTGTTGTCCCACTCGAGCTGCGAGACATTTTGATAATCGCGCTTGCGTCTTGTGGAAGTTGGAATTTCGTCTTCATCCTAAAATGATTTAGTAATTATAACAATAAAAAGCCGTTTCATTTAATATAAGTCGTTTATTAATAGTTTAAAATAAAACTTACCTCTTCAGAGGAGTCAGCTCTTATGCGACATGGGCCATCTCCAGGACCATCTTCATCAGATGATGATTCAGAATCAGATTGTTCAGATTCAGAATAATCCCCGGAACAACCATTGCGTTCTAGTTTACGTTCGGCATTCTGAAATATATTTTAAATCAATGTAGCAAACTATGCGATAAAGAATTAATTCATAGGACAAATAAACTTAAATGACATAATTTATTATGTTTACCGCTACAGGTTATGACAGCAGCTTTGGGAGCATTATATTTCTAAATCTGGATTGTAAAGTCGTTTTTTAGAAATAAATAAATTTGGCGCAGTCGGTAGGATATCCGGAATTGTTTCTATCGAACGTATAATTATAATACCGTCTTCTCCACATAAAACGTCATATCATATCCTTAACAGAGTAGGCTTAAATTATGACACTTTAACTCTTAAACTGTGATATTCCGCCGTATCATTCCTATTAAAAATAAATACGGTTAACATATTCTAAAAACTTTTTTTTAATAGTAATTTCCTTACAATATTTTAGAATTAACATTTAAAAATAACTTTAAAACAACTGACACTTAACTGTTACCGTTACTGTCAAAAACGTTGGCTAGAGACAAAATAAAGCTCAAACTGATAAGGTATATTTCTTCTACTGTAAGATCATATGTACATGTTCTAATTTTCTGTATTGATATTGTCAATTGCCTATTTGATAATAGGGGTATAAAGTTAAACAGGTGTAAAATAATATTTACCTCCATTGGATTGACAGTTATAGTTAAGGCAGAATCATCCCAGGTCATTTCTCCATCTTGAGCTTCCTCACTTGATGTTTTTTGATGTGCAGCTCGAATCCTAAAAATATCAATTTAGAAAATTCACTAGTTAATATTACAAATAAGGAAACTTGCCTGATTATTCCCAAAACAATCATAAAGAGTAAAAATCCAACACAAACAACCACTATAATGGTTACAGCATGAGATCCACCAGAAGCCATAAGATTCAGATGGCTAGCTTGTACATATTCGTGGGAAATGACAGAGGCTGGTCTAATTTCAACATTATGCTTATTAACTTTCGCATGTGCCACAATAGATTCTTTAACTGGATGAATGACAGTCAACTAAAAAAATAGGTTGTCGAAAACACGTCTTATATATTAATATTTAAAGTACTTACTGTTTGAACATATTCGTTACTAGTAAATCTACCATTTAGTTCTGAGCATGTCAATTTGAAAACTCTGTTCAAATAATATGCAGGTTTCCTGTTGGTATACACAATTTGCCGCAGTACCTAAAATTATTTGATCAAATATACTAATTTCTTAAGTAAAGTAAGATTTTGATTACTTGTTGATAGTTGAAGACCATATCAGAACCGCTAATAGTTACTCCATCTTTGGATACACGCGCTGCCATTCCTAAATGCTTCAACATTTCTTCTGGTACAGCCAAATTTTCATGATCGGGATTTAAGTTTGGATAAATGGTCAATTGACATTTGTCTAATTTTTGTTCGCCTGTAACCAAGTAAGTGTATTATTTAATATGACTAAAAAAATGACAATAGGAATAATGACGTAATTTCTCAAAAATATGATATACAATTTGTATACAGGTTGTTAATTTGTTTATTACTCGCGGCAAGAGCTTTATGGTTGAAATACGGCAACCTCGGCCCGCTCGTCGATAGACGACGCCGACCGACGCGCGACGGGACGACTCGGCAGAAAACCCTATAAGTGCATGCGTTCTCAATAGGCAGTGTTGCCATTCTGTTCCCCTATAAGTAACTGTCCAGTTAACAACCTGTATACATTTTTTTAAATTTTGATTAAATCGTGAACGCCTCTGTCAAAAATATTCTATTAATTTAAAATTTTATTTCAACGGATGGTGTGACGTCTTTTCATTCAAAACAGTGCTTATAAAGGTTCTATTTTTATTTTTCCTTACCAGAAATATGAATATCAGCCAAAACTCTTACGCCCATTCTAAAATCTTCATATTTTCGTGCCATATTGCCGGTACCGTTCAAGTTGATACTGGGGGTTTGTGGTCTAAGAACCATGACATATGTTTGAGCGTCTGGTACCTAAAAAATAATAAACATATTATATGACGTTTGGTGAATTCTAGAAACCAAATTTTACAGTAAGCTGATTGATCTGATATGGTTATACACCATTGAAAATTTTATCTTAATCTTTATGCAAATACGTGTACGAAATATACAGTGACATGAGTATTTTGACAAATTATATTTAAAGCCCAATTTTACCAATTTTGTTAAATCCAAATTGATTGGATACAAAGCAGTCAAATGTCCGCTGGCATAATAGTTTATCACTTGGTATAGTACAAAATTCCGTATATTGAATCATAATGTAATATGTTACTAAACTTTGACTAAAGAAAATAGAAATATACTTGTCCTGCAGTGCGATTCTGTAAACATATTTCTTGTCTAGTGACTCATCAATCTTATAAAACTAATATAGGCTAGGCAAGAATTTTTTTGCTACGGAGTTTACAGAATCCCACTTCTGGTCATTTTATTCTGTGGTCTGTACTTTAATGCATACGACAAAGATAAATATATACGACTAGTTGACACACAGAGAAACAAAATAAAAAGCGACATACCGATATGCCGGTTCGTACAAGAAATAAAATAATAAATGAAGATAATATACAGGGTCCGGCAATAGTGCGTCGGGCATCTGTAGCTCCTAGAATAAAAAACTTAAGAATTTTGTTTAAGTGCAAATCTAAGAATGTATTCCAGGAAAAATATATTATAAAAATAAATAAAAATATTTTCCTGAAATACATCCTTTTACATACTTTAGGTTTACACTTAAACAAAATTCCCAAGTTTTTTATTTTAGGAGCGACAGATGCCCGACGCACTATTGCTGGACGCTGTATCTAAGCTATTCAATACAGCTCATTTCTGTTAGACAGTTCTTCAAGAATCTATTACAGCTATAGTAAAATGAGTAACTAATTGTGAAAAATAAAGTTCCAACCCTAGATGCAACATTTTTCGTAAACAACTACTTGTGCGGTTTGAAATTTTGAATGCAAAATCCGGCAATACCGCATAGAAGAAATGCATCAACCTAACTTCTATCTCTTTTTAATACATTTTTTGATTATTCATTTAACCAGACTACGCAGTTTCGATGACCAGGTCGGTATAGTTAGTTTAATTTTGAAATGTAAAATTAGACATTGTAAAGTTAAAAAAACAATTTACTTTAATTGTCTTGCCGTTATCGCACGTAACAGTAGTCATCAATCTCAAATTTCTACGTCCAGGAGTTGGAAATTCTCTAGTATTGGCGTATCCAATTTTTCGGACTAATATTTCCAAATTGGTACGGTTATCGCCTTCAACAGTAACTTCGGTCAAATCGGAATTTGTTAACAGCTCCATTCCTGGTTGCAATAGCTCCATACTGGGCACCTGAAAATCCACAATAATCATAATTTGCTTAATTTAACAAAGATAAATTTAATAATTGTACAACTAGATTTTTGTTATTAAATCACAGAGGAAGGGGGATTTATAAATTTCATAATTATAGTATTTTTTACCTGTAAACTCTCTTTGCATTGATGTAAGCAACTAAGCACCTCTGGTTTTTCATTTTCTCCAACAAGTACACTTAATCCAGCTAAGTATCCTTTCAAGTGGTGTTTCATCTTATTATCCGATCCCTACAAATAAATGTAACAGTTTAAAACACTTGTTGAATTGCTGCTCAAAAAAAAACAATTGTCTATTTGTAAATAGTTTCTTAAATAATTACTTGGTATTGAAATATATTACTTACTTGCCAACATGCCCCAACTGTAAGAGTGGTATTTATGCCCTTGGTGGGATGTAATGGCCAGTCATCGATTACTTCGGGATTTTTCTTTTCGGTTCTGAAAAGTTGGCCATCGATATAGAGCTCGACATCGGGGAATCGTACGTTGATAGCGTAATGATGCCACTGATCATCACAAACCTAAAATAACACATTTGAATATAGTATTAGGTTAATAGTTAACAAGTTAAGTTTAGCAATTGCTTAGAACACATTTAATATGGTGGCATTATAAAAATATAAATATGTATACTGTTTGATGACTGAATGACATGTATTGATTATTTCTATCCCAAAAAAAATTCCAAATCTTGAGAACCATTACTATACTACACACAACCAAAGTTATATGGAATCACTCCTTATTTCTGACTAGACTTTTTGTAGAGGAAAAAAACTGGTATACTACTTTAAAATAAGGCTTTTTGTTGTGAATAAACAGAATAATGAAGAATAAACGACTGCTGCGATTTATTTTCTTGTGAACTTTGTGTTCAGTAGTAAAATCACGATTGTCCGGTAATTTTCATTCAATCCAAAAAAAATAAAAATGCCTTATGTTGGATTAACAGATGTACAGAGAAGAATTATTACTCTCACCGAACAAAGACTGCCCCAAAGAGATGTAGCAGAGATAGTAGGCGTTACCAAGGATGTTGCATCGAAAACATATGCAAGGTACTTGATACTAGGAATTCTCAAGAACAGGCCCAGACAAAGTCGTCAAAGAGTCACAACTGAACAACAAGACCGCTTTGTGTGCCAAATTGCTAGAAGAAATACAAATGTTTCTCATCCAGAGCTACAAGGACAACTTCTGGCTGCTACAGGTGTGAACGTTTCAGCTGAAACCATAAGAAAAAGGCTTCGTGATTAAGGGTTGTACAATATAGGAGGTAGTTACGGGTCCCACAGTTATCTCGGAAAAATAAAATTGACCAGCTAAATTGGCAACATCAAAACTGGACAATTAATAATTGGCAAAATGTTCTTTTTTCGGATGAGACCAGAATTGGCCTAAGATCAGATGACCATCGAATTCGGGTTCTCAGATCTCCAGGAAGACGAGCAAGGCTCCAGTCAGTCAAATCTGCACCAAGATATAAAGGAGGGACTGTAATGTTGTGGACAAAAACTCCATTATTACCACTTCAACAAACTTTAACGGGTCGGAGATATGTTGATTTAGTGCTACAACCAATCGTTAGGCTTTGGAGAGCTGCAATTGGGAATAATTAACTTCATGCACGATAATGCACCTCCCCATACCAGCAGAGTGGCTAGAGAATGTCTTGAAACGGAAGGTGTAATAGTTTTGGACTGGCCTGCTTGCTCATCAGATCTAAACCCTATCGAACACTTGTGGGACCAGCTCAGAAGAAGGATTAGAGCTCGAATCCAGGAAATCTCGCACAGCTTATTGATGCAGCATTAGCAGAATGGGAAAACGTACCCCAAGATAACGTTGACAATTTAATAAGAAGCATGCCAGCGCGGATAGAAGCTTGCATAAGGGTTACAGGTGGCAACACGGATTATTAAAACTATCAATTTCCTTTTTGTTTTTGATTTTTGTCCTTTAAAAATTTAAATCTCATTTCGTTTCATATACCAAAAAAATACCATTGGGTTTTTTGGGAACTGATTTTTTTTTCTATTGCTATATGGATTATTTGACATTAAAAGTTTTTGGTAAGGACTGAGTTTTATTCTTAAACACAAAATTTCCATATTTCACAAATTGAAAAATAATAGATGATTCCATATAAGCTTGGTTGTGTGTATATTCGTAGCGATTTTTACCACAAGAGACTTTTTTTCCCGTCAGTTCAGACATTATTTGGAAAAAATCGAAATAAAAATGAAACTTCTACACCTGTATCTCCAAAACTAAGTATTCTAGCATATAAATATACAGGGTTGTTCACCACATACGACACGGAGTATTGTAGCTAAACGATTAGATTTTTACAAATTGTAAGTTTTGGGTTCGTTGAAGGATTATTAGAGCTACAATTTAAAAATATTTTTACAAGATACAGAGTGTCCCAACTAAGTAAAAAATATTATAGTTGTATTTTTTTAAATGGAATTCGGTTCGAATCAGATAAGATATTTTTATTCTTTACCGAGAATTAAATTCGAAGAATTCCTAGTCCCTACTTCTTTGCCAAATTCAATAGTCTCCGCCCCTTTTTACGTTTTAATTTCTGCCACCAGTTGGCAGCATCGACTTATACAGACTCATTGACTAACTATTAATATATAAACAAGGGTTTTACTAAGAGTAAAGTTGCTAATAATTTAATATAAACGAGAAACTTTCTAAACCTACTAATATGATTCAAGTATACGTAAAGTATGATAAGTTTGAAAGAGCAGCGTAATTTTGCTATCGATACATTTTTTAAATGATTTCACTTTAACTTTCCGTCCGATATTTATTGGCTTTCTACTTGCAAAGACCAACTCAGGCCATCAATCTTGTTTTTTTTTTCTTTTTTTGAATTGCCTTTGAGTTCGACTTTACTTTTTTTAAACTTTTTCCACGGAAAGAATTTTTTGTCACTTCTATAGCTGCTCGGAAAGTTTTCAAACGATCTGAGAGTTTCTTTATTGGTTTCCTTTTCGCCTTTTCCTGATTTTCGTTTATTTATACATATATTACATGCAAGCAAGTGTATATCGAAAAATACCCGACATTAAAGAAGTCATTGTTATGACTTTAAAAAGGCTTAACTTCAACAGACAATATCCAAAAGATGATAAAGAATAATATATTTTTGAATAAAAATAACATCAACATCTGTCAATTTCTTATGATTCATGATTCTCTCGAATTGTTTATATTCGAAACCATTTCAAGTCTTGAATATACAGGGTGGTCCGAATTGTATTCAGGAAACTTTCGCAGCTTATTCTAAAGAAAGTAAAAGTAAAAAAGTTCGCATAAATGTACGTCTTAAAATGCTTAATTTCGGAGATACAGGGTGTAGAAGTTTCATTTTTATTTCGATTTATTCCAAATAATATCTAAAGTCGATATTTGGATGAAAATTGGTGTCTGGGAGTTTTTTAACATGATAAATTTGATTTTGATGTCAATATGACTCCTACTTGTAGAGGGCGTCACCTACATACTTTTAACTGGCTTGAAGAGTAATAACTTTTCGTCCGTACCTGTATAAAACTACTGAGTAAAATAATGCATTTACGACACGTTTTACGTAAAAAAGTCTCTTGGTAAAAATCGCTACGAGTAATGGTTCTTGAGATATTTGGAATCGAAATTATCAATACCTGTCACATTGAACATGGCAACTAAATAGTAAGTAGACTGAAATAATAAATTTGGAAAGGTTTTGTGCCAAAAGATCAACAAAAACTGTTTTAACTCCTGAATTACTAACTGAATTTAAAAAAATAAAAAGGCCCCATATTTATAATTTCAGTCAAATGTTAATGTAATCCCACTCAATATTTTAATTTTTTTCAATTGACTATTTCCATTTTAAATATCTTCAGAACGGTTGCTCGTAGCTCGTAGCGATTTTTATAGACACTTTTTACGTAAAAAATTAAAGAAATATATATTTTTTCACTCAGTAGTTTTATACAGGTACGGACGAAAAGTTATTACTCTTCAAAACAGTTAAAACACATGTAGGTGGCGCCCCCTACAAGTAGGAGTCATTTAACAACGAGATCAAATTTCCTATGTCAAAAAACATCCAGAAACCAATTTTTATCCAAATATCCACTATAGATCAGAAATTATTTGGAAAAACCCGAAATAAAAATGAAACTTCTACACAATGAAACTTCTGTGCAATGCAATTCGTCTCTTTGTAAACGTCCAAGAAAGATTTCCAAGCAAACGTGGCGCCGTTTTTTTAGTTGTAAGGTATGTAAGTGAAAATACTTTCAAAATAACCTAACAGATGTACTTATTCTCCTCATCTTTGCTTCTAACAAGATTTCAACAAAATGCAAAGTTGTTTGATCGTCTCTCGAATTTAAAGACGATCTAATAGGCATTTTACGGGTTAAGTTAGAATTGACTGTTTGCAGTATCCAATTAGTAAACTCAGATCAATAAATATCAGGGGCTATCCTAAAACCAAATACGTCTAATAGATTACTGGAAATTTATATGACTTGTCAATAGGACAATGATTAATGTTTACAGTTAGATATTCAATATTAGTTGTAATTTCGGTGATACTCTATTTTAATGAAAATATTATCAATTAAATTACTTGTAAATAAAAATATTAAATTAACATACAGGGTGGTCCGAACTGTATTCCGGAAACTTCGGCAGTATATTCTGCAGATAAAAATAAGTAAAAAAGTTCGTATAAATGTATATCCTAAAATGCTTAGTTTCCGAGATACAGGGTGTAGACGTTTCATTTTTATTTCGATTAAAATTGGTGTCTGGAAGTTTTTTGATATGAGAGATTTGGGATTTTGATGTCAATATGACTCCTATTTGTAGGGGGCGCCACCTACACGTGTTTTAACTGCTTTGAAGATTAATAACTTTTTCACTGTACCTGTATAAAACTACTGGGTGAAAAAATATACATTTCCGTGATTTTTTACGTAAAAAATGTCTCTTGGTAAAAATCGCTACGAGCAACCGTTCTCAAGATATTTAGAATGGAAATGATCAATACGTGCCATTATTGATAAAAAATAAACATGTCGGGTATATAGTTATTTGACTGAAATGATAAGTTTGGGAACTTTTTATTTTTTTTAAATTAATTATAAAACTTTCTTCGAAACAGTGATGATAAAACAGTTTCTGTTAAACTTTTGGCACAAAAACATTTCAAATTTATGATTTCAGTCTAATAACTATTTAGTCAAGGTGTTTAATTTATGTCAATAACGATATCAAAATCAAATTTCTCATGTCAAAAAACTCCCAGTCACCAATTTTCATCCAAATATCGACGTTACTTCAGAAATTATTTGGAAGAAATCGAAATAAAAATGAAACTTCTACACCCTGTATCTCCGAAACTAAGCATTTTTGGACATACATTTATACGAACTTTTCTACTTATTTTTATCTGCAGAATATGCTGCTGAAGTTTCCGGAATACAATTCGGACCACCCTGTATAATATACGCAAATAAAATCAGTGTTTCGCCCTGTATTTCAGGAACTAACAAGGCTAGGACAAATCTTTGTGAAGCATCTTTAGTACCATAAAAAAGTAGCCTAGTGATGTGAAAACCGCATCTTTATATCGCTACTCATAAACGAGAAATCCCCAAAAACGCTAAAATGGGACAGCCTGTACTTGTGATATGTGCCATCAGTTTTCCAGAAAAATATAAGGAGTCTACAATTTATTATTTAGATAAATAAATATTATTTAAATAAATTAAACGACCGTTTCGAACCCGGAGTTCTCGGGTCAGCAGCAAACACACTTGCCGCTGAGCTACGGTTAGCGATTTTATAAATACTTACTTGTGGGATTTTCCATCTCCATTCGGCTGGCCTGAAGATATTCAAGTCCCCTTCTGAGAAATCACGTCTGAGCAGTAAAATCAAACGGCAATTTCGGACAAAGAAAGCATAGTGATGTCTGTTCATTTCTGCAAAACAATAAAAACAGGAATCAACAAGTTGTTAAGTTTAAGTTCCTTTATTATGCAAAATACAAAACATCAACTCAAAAACAACTGTAGTAACAAGCCTGGTATTTTTTTGTTTAAAATGTGTACTAAATGTTTAGAACAAATTATTAATTATTATTAGTCAACAGTCACAAACTTAAATTTTCTTTAAAGACCCCCATTAATGACTCAATAAATTTAACCGTTGATTGAAAGAATTGGGAAGATACGCAGCCTAATGGGCGAATTTGTGACAAGGCTGATTTGATTTCCCCTTACGTCTCAAGTGCTGTACGGTGGAGCCTCTGTTCGTTCTGCGGCCAACGCCTAAAACACTCATTTTCTCTAATTCAGCTAGCGAAGGCTTATCGAAGGCGGTGTGGAACTGAAAGCGACAGTGTTGCCACATTAAAATGTGTAATATATGTAATACGTTTGACGAAAATATGTATTGAAAATTTATTCGTCTTAAGCATAAAATAAACAACAAAAATAAAAATTCTTTTATAGGTACTGAATATTTCATATGATCGAAAAAAATTGTTTAGTTGGCTTGGAAATGACGACTATTGATATTGCCAATAATATTTTACATATGAAATAACAGCGATCTTTATTTCCAAGCCAGAAATAGAAAATCCGTATTAGTAACTTACTCTACCCAAAATCCGTAAATCTACGGATTAATCCGTAGTACTGGCAACACTGTCTCCGACAACCACCCACTCTGTCGACTGAAAGCAGAACTACGGTACAGTATTCTTTATCCGCTGCGCTGTAAACTACTATCAGCGCGCAGCGGCGCAGAGCTAAACTAAATCTCGGACATATAACGGTAACGCCAGCTATATCGCGGACATATTTTGTGCCAAGAAATCTTCTGTAAGGTTGCGCATCTTCTTATTTCTGCAATCAACGGTTCGACAAAAACAATTTTACTCTTTTTTTGGTCGTCCAGTCTTAATATCTAAATAATGTTTCTATCTAGGTGAACAGTATCTATTAATGAGAAATGTCTGTAAAATCAAGATACTTTTTATATCATTGCAGCAAAAACGATTACTGCTGTGTAATAAATTTATAGCGTCAAATATTTTTAGATTAAAAGTACCTTACTTGAGTTGGAAAAGTGCCAAATCCGCTAGATTTTACTTCGAAATTATGGAGCAGGAAAAAGGTATGTAGAGAAAGTTATACTTTTATTTTGGATGTTAATGGATATTTTAAACTCCCGACTAAATTATAGATTCAAAAGAATTCTGTGTTTTATACATAAAATTTACTCAGTATATGCCCTTATTTTTCAAAATATACCTCTTATTGTTAGCGTGGCTGACCCGTATAACTTTTTTTATTTTTTCAGATAAATAAACAAGATTTGGAATGTTAGTAATAAGATATAAATCAGGATTGATTGACGTATTCAATTATGTTCGGTCACTTCCTGTTTTACCGGAAATTACTACAACTTTTGATTTTTAAATGGGACCCTCGATATTTTGTTACTTTATTCGTTTGGAATTGACAAGAATGACATATCATATGCCAACTTTTGAAATTGTTGTATTTTAAATTTCACTCTAAAATGCCATGGGTGTGTTAAAAACACTAATTTTTAATCAAGGAACATTAGCATAAAAGCATTTTTTTTTAAATAATTTAGTATCACACACTTAGTAAGTATTTCGAGTCAAATTGTCGTTACATGTAGTCATTTCCGGTGAAACAGAACGTGAACGAAAACAGTTGAATCCTAATTTATGTCACTTACTAACATATCAAATCTCGGTTTTTTTAAGTGAAAAATAAAAAAATTATAGAGGTTACACTTTTGGGAAACACCCGGTAGAAGTTCAAACACCTATTGTCTTTTCCATAGATAAGCAAAAAATTAGAATATATTTTAATTCTTTCTCTAGAGTCACTTACTATCCAGATTGATTTTATGTTTGCGACATAATGCGCGTAAGGATAAATAAAAAACGACAACTGCAGACGCTCATCAAATATCAATCTGTGCTCTTTTTCTAGATTGAAGGTTTAAATATCTATTGGCAATCGACCAAATAAACCCCCGATAAATGCCACTTCCGAGCGTAGGCGTCAGCAAAAATGCACATGCACGAAGTCTTAAGTATTTTGCTTTTATGTAAATCCGTATTGGGAGCGCAAGAATACACTTTTAGTTTTTTCTCTTATTGAGAAAAGAGCTACGAATTGCTTTTTATTTCGGGTAACAGTCGGAATTTTAATACAGCTATACGTATTCTTACGATCCGGAACATTGAGTGTGATTTTTACGGAATACTTAATAGATATCCATACGTGAGTAGAGATGAAATGATACCATCGGAAGGTGTTGATATACCTATATATTAAATTGAAAGATATTAACTATCTTAGATATGCTTTATGTCATTTGCTATTAAGATTTCTGATTAAGCATTCTAGCAGCATCTGGAGTATAATCAACGTGTGCTCAGCAGGTAAAAGGGCATAACATGGTATACTGATGCTTCCCAAACCTCTCAAAAAAAAAGCAGGGACCGGACAGGGATAGGCTTATCTGGGCCGAAAATTAGGGTCAAGTTTCGTTTAGCCGAAATCTGTTAAAAAAGAAAAAAACATTTTTTTGTCATTTAGGTACCTCAGGGAGTATATTACTGGAAAAAATTTGCAGCGGAAATACGTCACCATTTTTTGAATGCGGTTTAAAAGTAACGAAATGACATACATGAAAAATTAATGTTATTCCATATTTTAGACGTCTTGTAAATACGAATACGAAAAAAATGAACTTCTGCGGAAATGCGATGCTGCATTTTTGAATAGGTTTAGAAGTAAATCTTAAAAATGAGATATATAAAAATTAATATTATTTTATAATGTAGACTTATTTTAAGCACCGATACAAAATGAAAAATCCGCGGAAATGCCTTTTTTTCACTCACTATGCAGTGATCTTCTTCCGACTTTGACACAGATCAATGAATAATATCTATTCTATCAACTTATCACAGGAACACAAATGCAAAAATTTAAAAATTGTCAAGAAGCTAAAAAAACGACAACTAAACCAAAACCAAATCCAATAAAACCAACCAAACTGGGCCAACTAAAACCTACTACAACCCAAACTAATAAAAACAACCAAACTAAACCAAACGACAACTAAACCAAACCAAATCACAAAACCAAATCAAACCAAGCCAACTAAACCCACTACAACCAAATCCAATAAACAACCAAACCAAAACCAAACCGAAAAGTATGCAAAAGAGAGGAATAAAACTGAAATATTGAAGATTTTCCATTACATCCAAAATTTATGATACATTTTAGAAATAGTTATATAGAAAAGTTATAGCAAATTATTAATCAAACAAAAATATGAAGCTTTTATCTTTCTATCACATTTCGGCACTTCTAAATCCGGAAAAATCAATGAAAATTATTGTGATAAAAATATATTTTTGAATAAAAATTAGTTCACATCGTTGAATTAAATGTTTTTACGTCATTCTATAATGAAAAAAACTTTTAAAAACACCGTAAAGTTTTAAATTTTAGTTAATAATGGAAAAATTAAAAATTCGAGTTTACTCAAAAACAAAGAATTTCCGCGGCAAAAATCAAATTATGTAGTGCTAGTTTTCTTGTATAGAATCATCCTATAAACCGATATTCTATGTAACTGATTTCGGCTAAACGAAACTTGAGCCGAAAATTAAGTACTCTGAACTAATGGGCACCTACTCCAGTATCCTTCAGGCAGAAATCTACGCTATCCAAAGATGCGTACATCTTATCTTAAGGCGCACTCTCACAACTCGTCTACTTGGCAAGTACGCCAATATTTGCGTACTTGGCAAGTATCCCCACCAGTCCCCACTTTATAAACAATATCGGCAAGTGTGGCGCTCACACGACGTGTCCATTTCAACAAGTACGCCATCACAAATATTGTATAAATCCTTGGCAAGTAAACAGTAGGTTTGTGTCAACCAGCATTTCGGGATCGTTTCGAAATCGTACTCGAATCGGTTTTCATGCACTTTGTTAGCATGCGCGGACTTCGAATAGTTTCATGAAGGTGCAAAAAGTATCAACGTTGGAACGCTTTGTGGATTGTTTACGGGACTGGAAAAAGTGTCAAAGCGTGCGTGTATCGATCGGTTTTTTGTTTTTGTTTAGAATTTCATAACATAACCCTATTTTTTTTGTTTGCAATTTGCAATAATAATAATTATTATTCTTGAAATGGAGAATCATAATCCAGTAATTGTTGGTAAGTGTTGTTTCAAGTGTATACTCGCTAACTCACTTACCTATCCTCTCTTTTATGATCCTGTTATGCATAGTTTCCTGTTATTTCATTGCAGTGGTATAATCTTTGAACATTATTTTATAAATAAAAAATTAATTAAAATTTCCGAACGATTTATTCCACACAAACTCACAAGCAAAAGTATAACGCACACGTATTTGAATTCATAAAAAATAACCAAGACAGAAGCATCAGCCGGACGCCGGACTAGAATCAGCTGTTAAAAATCGATAATCCCTGCCAATATGCTTTAATGTGCAAGTCAACCCAAACAGTTCTCTATTTATGGTCTAAATTACCGTTCTGAAATCGTAACTAAACGATCCCAAGGTAGGTTGGTACGCAAATAGGATCGTCCGATAACCGTCAAATCTCGGTTGGAACACATTTGAATTACTGCGCACGAGCGTGATCGTTCGGTGACGGTTCTGCGGCGGGTTGGAATAAACCTAGTATAGTGGCATCGATGGATACCGGTCGTCCCGAAATTGTCGTTGCTAGTGATTCTTTTTTCTTTTGAAGTTCTTTTACTGTACACTGCAATACGATTTCTATGTTCTTTATGTTTAGCCATCCATATGAAGGCCTCATTTTCGTATAAATCCAAAAATTGCAAAACAACATCATTTGAAGACTACATGGGAAAAACCAG